AACCCTAACCCTAACCCTAACCCTAACCCTAACCCTAACCCTAACCCTAACCCTAACCCTAACCCTAACCCTAACCCTAACCCTAACCCTAATAATATTTATATTATTAACCTCCAAATAACTTTATAGCCTTTTTATACTTAAATAGCTATTAGAATTTATTAAGCTTATTAAAAAAGTAGTAAAGGATAACCTAAAATACTACTTATAGAAGAATAAGCTTTTTAAAGATATAGAACTTATAAATAACCTATTATATAAAAAGGAATACTTATAAATATTTATAGCTATATAATAAAAAGTAATAAAAATAAAGTACAATATATAAATAATTAGGTATATAGGAATAAATAAAATACTGGAACTTATTATAAAAAACTTTTAATAGCTTAATATTAAAGCAATTATAAAGGACTTTATATAAGGCTACTATACTTATTAATAGAATAAAGCCCTACAATATACCCCTTATAGATTACTTTAACCTATAAAGTTATATTATACTTTATAGCAATTAATTATAATAGACTTTATTATTAATCTACCTTTATTTAATAGCTACAACTTTATTTAAGTAATAATAAACCCCTTTATAAAAATAAGATACTTTATACCCTTAAAAGTTAAAAAAAAGAAAATTAAAGATTTTATTAAAATTTTTATTAAGCATTATTAAAAATTGTATAATATACCCCTTAATATAATTTTTAATAGAGATTTTAGGTTTATAAACTATTTATAAAAGAACTTTTTAAAGCTTATTAGTATTAAACCCTATATAAATATAGCTTTCTATCCTTAAACTAATAAATAAATAAAATAATTTAATTAAATCTTTAAAATTTATTTATAAACATTTATTAATTATAAAATGTCCAATTAGAAAAACCTTCTACTAATTATTAAATTTATATATAATAATACTATATTAGCTTTAATATATATATCCCCTTTTTATATAAACTATAATTATTATCTAATTATATATAACCCTTTAATAGTATAACCCTATAACCTATTTAATAAACTATATACCTATTAAATAATATAAATATATAAAGAAGTTAAAGAATAGCTAAAAAAGGCCTAATAATATATAAAGGAATAGGTAAATAAAAGATAAAGGGTTTTACCCTAATATACCGAAGACTAATTAATAATGTTAAATACAAAGAATATTAAAATAAAAAGACCTATTAAAAAGCTAAATAAAAAGATACTTAATTTCTTTAAGATTTATAAAGTAATCTTACCTACCATTATTAAATTTATATTACTTAAAGGATAAAAAATTTATAATTTATTCTATATTTTACTTATTAAACCCTATTATATTAATAATTAAATATTATTTAACTTTAATTAAGTTCTATAAAAAGCGCCTTTAATAAAGTTTAAAAATTATTAAGTAGAAAAAATTAAGGATTTTTTAAAAATTTAAGGGAATATAAAGTACCTAATTAAATGGAAAGGTTAACTAACTAAAAGGCATTAAACTTAAGAACTATATAAGTATATAAATAGCATTAATATAAAGGTTTTTATTAAATAATTCTATTAATAAAACTTAAGTAAACCGGCGGACCTTTAAACTACTACAACCCTAAACTTACAATCTACCTAAAAAATCGAATTATACTTAAAGTTAAACATTAAAAAGAAGGGAAATAATATTACATAGCTAAAACTTTAAAACTGAAAATAACTAATACTACCACTAAAAAAAAGTAAAGCTATAAACAATTAAATAAGGATAATCTATTAACTATAAGAAAACTAACAATTAAGGTATAAATACCCAATAGATAAAAGGGAATTATAGATTATATAAGGCCTAAATAAGCATAAATAGCTAAGGAATCTCCCACTCCAAAATAGGAGAAAGAGAGAGATCAAGGCCCTAGAAACCCTTAATAGATTATTAATAAATATAACTAAGTTCCAAGCCCTCTATAAGAGCCCTTATCACAGATAACGATGACCAAATCTCAATATTAAACTTTCATAACTAACATAACTATTATTTCTTATCCTTAAATAGCTTATCGCTTCCGCCTTACCGTTATTCACGATATTATTTTGCTCATTTTTCTCACTCCCTTTCAATGCCACGACAGAACTTGTGCCATCCGTATAACCCCTTTGACGTGCCATTTGTTCTGTGTGACAGCGACGGCTTCTATAGGTACCGTTGCAGCAATTTCTACATCGATGAATACTTTGATTGGGTAGTAAATGGTACCACTTGCTCGGCATGTAGCGTGAGTACGGAGACCTATCTATTGCAGCTGTTCAATTTTGACTTAGAGTGGGAGATCTAGGCCTAAGGGCGAGAAGTCAACCCGACGAGAACCCAAACTGTCCCAACCCTGTCATCATCTAGCAACCATACCATTGATACGACCTGGGCGGATCAACTACTATCTACAGAAGCCCGCCCTTTGATCATGAAACGCATTGATCAATATCACAGCAGGTCTGGTCAAGATTGGCAGATTGTATGAACGGTAAATGGGGCCTCGGTCGACATGTTGGTCGATTCTTATAACAAGGGCAGATAAACTGGGCTTGGAACTGAGGATTCTTATTACAATGATCTACTAGGGCTGCAGTAGTCCTTGACCAACCAACTCCTTCTCGGTTGTTGGTGGCTTGAGATGACTCTATATACAAATGATCTGCCAGCCCAGACCGCCTGGGTCTCTAGGGTCTGTTTCAAGAAGCGAAGTCTGTATAACCTCACTTTTCAATATTGCCCAATATTGCCTGCATGTCTTGGAAGGTCATGAACAGCCTGCAATGGTCCTTCGTACGGCTGAAGTGCAAGGCGAACTGCATACTTCAGCCGGTACAGAGGTTACACGTGTAACAATTCTGACTTGAATATAAATAGTATGTCTGAGGGCAAAGTTCATAGAGTCGGTGCTGTCGTGGACCCTAAAACCGCTGGACGGATGATTCGACTCCTGTCTGGCGATATATGTCTCTCCCTTAACATTGCTACAGTTGAATTTACCTTTGAGGGCCTATGAATTACAATGTGATATCGTGGGGACGTTGGAATGGGCTATGATTGTCGGTTACGATTTTCTAAAGACCACTAAGACCTTGACGCTATTCTTCTATCAGAGGATTAAAGAAATTATACCATTGGATTTACATTCCATGCCTCTAAGCCTGGTGGTGGAGAACAGCATCCTCTCGGACGGCAGCGAGGCGCTGATGGACGGTTTCATCAACGGCATTCGTACAACAGTTGTGTCAGACACAGGCTCGGGTATCATTGCCATGTCAACCACTCTACATCTACAGCCAGCGGAGATTTCCTTGTTGCAGTCACCGGTTCGGGCAAGGAGATACTTTCAATGACCAGGATAAACAGAAGACCAGTGGTTTCCCGGGCATTACGGAGTGATATATGCTGGACGCCGCAGTAGTTTAGCTATAAACTGTATGTAAGAATATTAAGTAGATTATATAAATTCCCTCGTCTGACTCTCACACCACTGTAAAAATCTCTCTGAGATCCCACTGTGGGTTAAGGATTCCTCTATCCCATCTGGAAGGGCACCTAGTCTCCCCCAGGGGTAGGCGTAAGCTCCGCTTCTGTCTGGCGCCAGCTCAGGGGCAAGTGATGTCCATAACTCGGTATATGCTCCAAAAATTGGCGGATATAGAATCGTCTTGTCCTGAATATCAGTTAGTCAAATAAGGATAAAAGCATAGGTGGTAGTTTAGTCGTCCGCTTAGACTTACAACTATCCAATGATCAAGGCCCGTCCAGTGTCGCTGAAGCTCTGTGCGAAGATTACCAGGATTGAACGCAGCATGAACAACGCCGGTTTCTGCAGTTGTTTTAGCGAGCTCACGAGCTATGAAGACATTGCCGACTTTAGTCTGGCCATAATTTGCCTTGACGCCTTTGTCCTCAGGCTGACCGTTAGCATCGATGATGATACCTTGTCGGTTGGGAGTGCCAACGTGGACGGCAATTGATCCAGCCCAGAGAACCCGAATACTCGCCGATTATGAGGAGGGATTCAAAGCTGTCTTAGCAAGGGGGGGTTGGAGGAGCTTGTACAGAAGGTAAGGGCCTAAACAGTTTGTTCCCATTTGTAAGTCGTTTCCCTGGGCATCTCGGCTCCCATCCGGTGGAAACATCACCTATTGCCTCGGGAACATATTAAGATCAAAAAGAAAATTTTAAATGAGATACATGGGGAAGCTGAGATAGGGTAATGAAGAGGATAGTGTGACGCACACCAGCATTATTGATAAGCACGTCAATACGCGATTCCTGAGTGGTAAAGCCCTCAACAGCTGGTTTAATAGAAGTAAGGTCGGAGAGATCCATGCGCAATTATTTCAATTGGCCGTTGCTTTCGGGTGCCGCCGCTCGAATATCGGCGATAGCCTTTTCAGCCTTCGATTCGGAGCGGCCGGCGATCCAGACTATATCATTGTGCTAGTAGAGTATCTTGGATAGCTCAAACCCGACACCACCATAGCCTCCCGTGACAAGAAACAAAGGATCGAGAGGCATAATCATGTGTCCAGCACCCCTAGCAGCCGTGCTTGATGGCGACCATTCCAGCATTTTACGCGACACGACGCTAGCTGAGGACAATGCCTATACGTGTCTTCGAGCCCTAGAATCACTTCCAGAGGCTCTCAAGACCCGTGCCGCGGCTGGAAAGCTGTACCTACAGCTTCTTGCTGAGATTCCCGGTATCAGATTCCAGCAAATTCCTAATGGTCCAGGCACAAACTACTACCAGGTTAGCTTTACAGTTAACGTCAAGTGCTTTGGGCTCAACGCAAAGCAACTCTACAATGTTCTTGAAACTGGGAATATTCACTGTGGCGCGAACGGAATGCCATGTGTTGCTACGGGTGCGAGATTCTCGCCTCACAGTAGAGTTGACAGCGATACTGAACATAGTCGATTGCTAGCCACAACTTCAGTCACCCTCCCAATCTCCAATCGTATCACACTCAGCACAGTCAGGGTGATCTGTGAACTAGTCAAGCTCATTCATCTCAGGGCTGGAGACTTGTTCAATATTGGACTGAAGGGTCCCGGCGATGTGCCTACTCATATCAACAAGCCTGCGAACATCATTGATCTTGAGTCTAAGTTCCGGCAGTGTTTGATCATGCCTGTCTTGGACGATGCTAGTAGATATACTAAAGTTATCGTACTGTATGAAGATCTCTATCAGTAGAGGATCTCAATTGACGAGTTACTCTATCGCTTCGGATCACAGGATCGGTGGAGCCGGGGTGAGTGCGTTGTTGTGGAGCTTCACATTGATTCAATCGTGGGCACCCTAGTAATTCTCGGCTCAAAGAACACGGGACAATATGCAGGCAATAGCAGTCGAGTTGCATTGGACGAGAGCGGATCCTCAGCAAGCGTCGCCCTGGTGGCTAATGCTGACGGCAAACTTACTGTTCAAAAATCCGCTGCGGGTTACGGAATTGACGGCAATGGCGCGCCGTGGTTAAGACGGCAGCCAATCTTCCTCAACAGCAGTCAAGCTGTGAAAACGACGGACATGTTCGTTGTTCCCATAGAAGTAAATGATAGCGGAACAGCCGTTAACCTTGTATTGCCATATGTCCCGAGCCACTCGTTTGGAGAACTGGTGTTTGCGAACGTGGGTATTGAACCTTTGGTAGCAGTCATGGTGAATATGCTTGCTAAAATGACCAGCAGTGTCTGGACAGAGGGCCAAGAAGTGGCAAACCCATGCTTCATACAGAAAGCGCACTTTAATCGGATGAGGAGGCGTGTTGAGATTGCTCGCGCACAGGATGAGGGTCTCGACAAGATCCTAAATCAAAAAACTGTCAGGCTCAATGGAAAGCAGCTGCTTGAGTTTGAAGTCATTATGGAGAAACTCGAAAAACACCCTGCGTTAGGAGGGATTAGTCCGAGGATTCAAGTGAAATTCACGGCGATCTCAACATCCACAACATACTCAGCCGGTTAGGATCTGAAGATTCCGAGGATGTAGCGCTTAATATCGATCCTCGGGGCGTTCCACTACTTGGCGATGATTCCCAGAAGATGTTTGAGCGGGGCGACTACTGTTATGATGTTTCTAAGCTACTTTTCTCACTCACTGGGTTTTCGGAGATCAGAAAACCGCTTTTCGAGTACTCTACCGACGGAGATTCTCACTCGCTCATGATCAAGCAGCATCCGGGGTCAGACACTATGAGTGGTACTGCTCATCTACTTCTTCCGAGGCTTGCTATGAACAAGATGGTGAGGCAATGGATCGAGAAAGTTGAGCAGCACGGTGCACGATCTTTGAGCTCAGAGTCAAGGTAGGTGAAGCAGCGCATTTTATTGCGGATTGTGCATGCGCCCTGGGACGGAACACACCCTGGGAGATTGTCCCTTTATTCCTTATAGGACTCGAGAAGCTAAACGATGTCATCAACCTCTTAGACAACAGAGTGCAGCTACTTACTGACAATCCGAGAACAACCTACGAGTTCAAGATTCCGAGAGAGAGAGCGTAGATTTCGGAGTAGCTATGATTCAGCATACGCTATTGCAACCTCAGATGTGCCCTTACGACGTGCTAGAAATCTCAGTTAAGGCAGAGTCAGCCCCCGTGGCTCAGAAGCTACTGCGCGATATGGTCGGAACATACTTTCCCACGGGAACGGTGGCCCATCTTTCAACTGATCCGTTTGAGCACTTTTGGGACCGCCCAGGCTGCTTGGCGATAATCCACCCATTCAATGGCGTGCGAGGGCAAACTCACATGCTCGTGGCTGCGACACGTAGGACTAATGCATTCTTTAGAGACGCTGGAGCATCCCAGAGCTTCATTGATAACCTTAGGATTGTCCATATCTCTACCGGGTCGTCCTCACGCTCGCAACTCACTGCAAGGGCCAATGATAAACTTCTCTCTCCTGGGTCATTCGGGATCTTACCCCTACAACTGGCCGCGATGCAAACAGCCCAGCTTCCTTTTCCGAGACCCGGTCGATGGGTCATCGAGAATGATTCGTTCTTCCTACTGAGCAGACCCCTGACCATGAGCGGAGACAATATCTGCCTTTTAGCTGTTAAGCGGCCAGCATCGGAGTCCAGCTCATCCTAGCGGATGTGCATTGACAGGTTTAGAGAAGAGGACGGTATGCTTATTGCGAAGAGTTTTCGGAACATCAAGACACACGAGAAAGAAAGCAAAATGCTCCGAACTACAACAGGAGCCTTCGTGCCTCACCCTGTTGCGGAAGCTCTCTCTCGGAGAGAAGACAACTACGCCGCACGAATAGCCCGTTGCTCCTCGACATTTTTCTCCCACGTTTCATGGGACGAATGGATAAATCTCCGTCAGCAGCAGGGCTACGGGGTGAATTCACACGTAGCGTGGCAGAGTGCCAAGGAGTACCTATTATAGTGTATCCAAACTAATCGAGCTGGCGGGCGGCGGTGACAAGATGGCCTTCTATCATTTTGGCTCCAACAGCGAGTATTTCAAGCTACTGGCGGGTGTCCGTGGCGATCCTCGTCTCAACAGTTTAGCGTATGCCGCAGTGCAGTGGAGGCGTACCACTAGAGTGCGCTTGCTAGGCGGCCAGTTTAGCACTGTACATCAGGGAGTAGCGGGAAGATCAGAGCTCTGATCAGGTGTTACCTAGGTAGGTCGAAAAGTCGTATGGAAAGATGCCTAAGGTTACCGTAGTCTCGTCGAGTGATTGGTAATCTATGCACACTGTAGTGTCCTGTTAGTATAACCGAATTGAGGTTTATTGATTCTTTTTACCCTTGCGTGTTCTACGTTGTTCCTTTTTGACTGTTCCTCCAGTACAGGGCTTATTACCACCGCCTGGTGATATTTACAGCAAAATGTTCACCCAGCCTCAGACGCTGACCAAGCTCGTCCTCCAGATGTCCGGTGCACCTGGTTCTGGAAAAAGCACACTAGCAAGACTGCTCAGGCCAGTCGTCAACGCAGTCATAATAGACCACGATGTTCTGAGATCCAGTCTCCTCGAATCAGGCATCATTCCATTCGATCAGGCCGCAAAGCAGGCCTACCTACTCCAGTGGGCGCTCGCCCGAGATGTTATCCAGCAAGGCCTTAGCGTCATAATTGATAGCACCTGTAACTATGATGAGGTTCTCAAAGAGGGTTCCGCGCTGGCTGCTGAACATGGCTACGAGTATTGGTACATTGAGTGCCAGGTACAGGACATCGACCTGCTAGACCAGCGTTTGCGCGAGCGCGATCCGATGACGAGCCAACGAACTGCTGTAGATTCTCCCCCTGCTGCCGCGAAGAGTGCTCGTACAGGCGTTGACTCCCGTGCGCTATTCAAGAAGTGGATTGAGAATCCGTGTCGCCCAAAGAACAATTTCATTATCGTGAACTCCACGGACAATCCGGAGCTTCTTCGAGACCATATATTAATTAAGATCATCGGCTAATTGAAATATTCACTGCCGGAATTTTTCACTGGCAGGTATCATGAAGTACTTATGGGGGTTTTGCAGAGGTGCGACGCAGTGTGAGATTGACTAGGAAGCCCTTTAAGCTTCATCGCGTGAATAGTTCTATGGAAATCACGAGTGGCTATTCAAGAAGCATTCCAATCGTAATTTTGAGCGCTGTATCTTTGACTACAATTATAGGCTAGAGGCTGATAGTAGCGGATCTGGCGATCAATGCCTTAATTTATCTCAATTTGAATGTCTCTATCTTGGATGTAAATAAAGAGTATGTCAGATACAGATCTTTGACAACCATTATACCAATGCGGTAATATGCATTCCGGTATCGCTTGATTAGCATCATATAGGTGTTTCCATCAATGGTAGCAAGCCTAATGATTCCATACCGCGCACTCTGGATTCTTCTGAATACCTTCGATGCATCAAGTTCGCTTTTGCTTGGATATAGTTTTACTTCGCCCCCGGTAATCAGGACAAGGCTAGAAGATGACTCATTGAAGACAAAAGCCGAGGGTGATATCGCGGAGGTCCGGATGTGAAGAGACTTATTACTCTGAGCCAACAGATGAGCATCTGTACTCTTGTGGTAGAGCTCCGGCACGGACTCCGAACTGTCGGATGCCAGAGATATGGACGTTTCTGCCCATGTCGAACTTCTGATATCTGAATCTTTACTCAATCTCGGCCACGTCAGAGCCCCTTCCCAACCCGTCCAAGACCAAGAGGGCAAATCGTGCCGCCTACGCGGGGGTTTCTCCGATGGAACATGTCGCCAACAGAGCCCGAGCATCAAGTATGCGAGATAATCAAACCCCTCTGCATTCGGCGAGGGCACTTTTGGTTCGCTGTTGTTTAGGCTTTCTAAGATGGGAAGCGGCCGTATCCGGTTGCCTACTGTATTATCGTCGTCGGGGTGGAAGAATGGGACACCCCAAATATGCCGAACTGGGAAGGGGGTGATGGATTCTAACACTCTGATGATGCCACTAAATGCTACAAGCGAATCGCGATCGAACGTCAGCGTCCTCTTTGAATACTGTTCAGCACAGTGCGTGTATGTGGAAAAGTTATTCAACCTTGCCGCTCTACCGCTCAATGCAACAGCTGATAGTTGGTAGAGTGAGAAGAGAGGGGAGCGTATTGAGCGCTCATGATCTATCTCAGATGCGGAAAATGTGTTATCAAACGAGATGTCAAAGGCTTCGACACAGCTAGTAGAGTTGCACTCGAAATATAGTTGTTCATCTGTGAAAACTAGTCGACGCCGGCTCAGAATGGCTTCTTGATAGGTCCAGCCTCTTGAAGCCCACTTGGATTTGGCGATGGAAGAGTGAGGCAATGGTAAAGTAGACCTTAGTTCATACCCATCTCCATCATTCTTGAACGATGTCTGCCTGTGTAGCCGGGTCGAGGACACCCCAGGAAGCCCGTACGATTCATCATGCCCTGCAGCTGCGACTATTGTCAACGTCGCATTCTTGTACACATGGCCCATATGCATTAGCTGCTCATGTTTCTTGCATTTGTCGTGCTGGTCGACACAGTACTTGTCGATCCACAAGTAGTAGTAACCAAGTTTCAACACCACATCAATGGCATCCTTGACAACAGATGGTAGACCGCGGGGCAGCCGCCGAGGCAGCCGAGGATCTTCTGAGACAGGTTCTGCGACGCCGTCGGTGCTATTGCCCAAACGTAGCTCAAGGCGAGATAGTCCGGTTCACCAGTGCCAATTTCAGCGATGCTCAGCACTCTCTGACTTCGACAATCTATCAGATTCAACTCTGATTGGGGTTTCTGAGAATTCCGGCATCTGCCATGCTGTGCAAGACAGACACGTAACCAATTCTGCACTATGCATGGGTCAAAGTAGGTAGACACGAGGCGAGGCGCCAGGGTTTCTCTTTCCGTTGGAGCCTGAGCTTGGTGATGAACTAAAAAGCCCCTCTTGGAAACCATGTCGTCAAACAGGGCTCGGTCTGAGCTACCAGGTACCATGGAGAATTGAGTCGGAACGGCGGCGACGAAGAAGTCGGATGACTGATTCTCGATAAACCTATGCCTCCCTTGGTACCATTGCTCGTAGAGATGTGGCAATAAGTGGAAAGCGCGTAACTGTAAGGGCGGACCATACGGATCTCCCGACGCTTGTGCCGCTACGCACGTCTCCCTACAGACCTGTGAGAGAACCTGGCACAGGGGACATTTGCTGTTGGCCGGGTTATCTTGCAGCTTGCCTAGGAAGATGCCACCTGGATTGTATGTGCTGTAAGCCAGCGTTCGAGGTGCTTGGCCAAGATCAAGCTGGCGACAAGTGTCGCAGAGAGGAGAAAGCAACGACTTGAGCGACGACCCACGACGCCGTGTCTTCTGAGTAACTGTAGGTAACGAGCGACTCACAGATTCCACGAGGTCTGGAAATGGCGATGTCTCTTGTGGCTGCCGTTTTGCCAAGCCGCTATGTCAGTACAACTAGATCCAACATTCCCTTCGAATGGGTAGATTTAGCGTATGCTCCTTACCAATCCTGGCCGAAACTTTTGTACAGCATCATCAGTCGTCTTCTTCGACAGCCAGCTCCGAAAGAAATCCATCATAGAAGCACATATGACATGCGCACTTGGAAGGGGTGAGAATGGAGTAGTAGTGTTCTCAAGTGTGGTGTTTTGTGTAAGCGCCTAACACTACCAGTAGGTAGGTAGGTGGGTGCCGCTTTTCGCTTTCCTAACTTGTGACAGGCCAACCTCTCAGGTCTTCTCAGATGAGCTCTGCCTCGATAGATAAAAGCCAAATTCACCTAACATTTGCAGCTACGGTTTGGAGGAGGAAAAGAAACAACAGTTGGCAACGCCTCAGATATTAAGTTACCTATATTGGTCCTATCTGAGGCTGAGTATTGAGTATGCAAGTTACATGAGCGACCTAGAACAGCTAGTGGGACATACAGTATAAGCAATGTGGTGGGCGCAGTGAGCTGCTTACCGCGACTCCGCCACTATTCGAGGATGCTCTCACTACCTAGGCAGTGGAGAGGCTACCACTGCACTTGTATCAATTGCATAATTATAGTCCTAGCTCCATTGAGTGACTTGATGCTCATCTGGTCTCATTTCTTTCTTGAGTTGTACTCTGTTTTATGAGAGTACTTAACAATGTTGACATTTCAATTGCGCTGATGGAATAATAGCCATTAGGGGCTTTGGTTGACTTGGCAGTCTTACCCGTGTGACAACGCTGTTCGGCAACCAGCACACTTGACCCAAAACAAAACATCGACCCTACGATGGAGTCTAACACTGATGATTCGAGCCATACACTGTATCAAACAGTGACTGCCGATGGCCCAGATAGCATAAGACTGATTCATCTGCTTCCTGGTGGGCTCACCGATGAGCTCAGATGTGCCCTCGTCCGCGCGGATCTCTCGGCTTACCCGCACTATGAAGCTCTCTCCTACGTCTGGGGCAAGCCGGTCTTCGACGCGGCCATCGTTTGCAACGAAGAAGTTCCCTTCAAAATCACTAGCAGCTTGCACCGCGCCCTTGTGCGCCTGCGCGCCGTCGATAGGGCCCGCGTGCTTTGGGTTGACCAGATCTGCATCAATCAGGCCAGCAAGCTAGATAGGACTGCGCAGGTAGCTCGCATGACTCGTATCTACAGCCGGTGCCAGAATGCCATCGTGTGGCTCGGCGATGTCCCGCCCAAGTTGCAGACCACGCTCGTCGAGTTCATCCAGACGCTTTCCAACGCACAGAAACAGCAGCACCGCGACGGGCTGATTCTGGGCGACAACGATCTGAGCACGTTGCAGCTTTCCGATATGGATGCCGCGCAACGAAAGCGTTATGGTCTCCCGAACTCGTTGGACCCACGCTGGAAGGTATTGCTGTACATCTATGCATCCCTCTGGATGCGGCGGACGTGGATTGTGCAGGAGGTAGCACTCCCGCGCAAAGTAGACGTTCTAATCGGCCCTGTTCTTATGGATTGGCGGAGTCTATCATCCATACTGTTTTACGTAGAGTCTCTGAAGGTCTCGGGGATGAATTTCGGGTCGCTGGGCTCCTGGAAGGCTTTCCTGGCCCTTGGGGCCAGAAGGGTGCGTACACAAGAGGGCGAATTTAGTCCTCTGTCCGAACTACTATTTGAGCACCGCCGTGGGAAAGCGACAGATGCGCGAGACCGGATATATGGGCTGATGGGCCTCTCAGCAGAGAGAGAAGAGATGCCCCTAGCTGATTACGCCGCCAGTACCCCGAACGTATTCATGGACGCAACCATCGATATGTTTCGTCGGTCTGGAAATCTTGACATTCTTGGTCTTGTCGGGTCTATGAGGCCAGACCGCCCCGAATATTTGCCTTCGTGGGTTCCTGATTACGGAAGCGCCCAAGGACCGCATCCTATTACCAAGAGAGGCACATTGTATGCTTCAAAGAGCCCACAAGTCTCCACCAAATTTGCGGCAAGTGGTCATGGTCAACTTTCATTCAAGATTGACGGGCACGCGCTTGTACTACCGGCCATGATCCTGAGTGAGATACTCGAATTAGCTGGGTGTTGTATGGGCCAACGAGATGATGATGTGGACGTGCAATATGGAATTGGCCAGGTTATCCTAAACTACGCTTTCAAGGCACTTCAAGATCATATCGAAGAGATCAACACATCCTTATCTTGGGAGACCCTCACCCGCAGAGTTATGGGAAGATCCCCCATCTACAAACCAACAGGTGAGAGTATGCAAGACGCTTTCTTCATGACGTACTATGAAGGGCAGATTGAGAGAGTAACAGACGAAATCCGCGCTATATATGCCATTGACAGATTTGCTTTCACGGTCTGGAGAATTCTGACTTTGGGCCACGGATGCACATGGCTTCCGGCCGCCATACCTCTCATCGCCGTCGTCGGATTTGTCTTGTGGATGAGCAAACCTGCCTGGACCAATCTTGGATACCCATCAGTTTCGACTCTTGAGAAGTACGCGGATATGAGGAAAGACGTGACCGACCGACGGCTTTGCACGACGACGGATGGCCTGGTTGGGCTCGCACCACCCGATTCAGCCCCAGGAGACAAACTCGCCCTCTTGCAGGGTGGCAGGGTTCCAGTAGTTCTGCGTCAGGATGTCGATGGCTATCGACTAGTGGGTGAGGCGTATTTACATGGTGCCATGTACGGTGAGATGATGGACGCTCAAAAGGTTGTTGTCATCAAGATCAGGTAATCAGAGCCATGCGCGGTATAAGTGAGACTAGACTCTCAAGTCTACGGGCCGTTTAAGGAGAGTTGTAAAAGCCTCAATTAGGAGGTATACATCACCAGCTGCTGTTATGGGTATTATTACTGATCGCCCCCACTCCTGTATGTCACAAAGGGTTACAGCAGTTCTAAATGTGGCGTATGCATGGGACTTAGCTCATGCTATATTCTCTAAGAACAAAAGGCAACGAGGACTAATATAGTGAATCTTCGCATCTCTGTTTAAGTAGAGGCGTTAAAAAATGACTCTAATTGTACAAGTAATTAAATTCTGCTGCGGAAACTAATAAGATAACCAGATATCTTTGTTCTCCTCAGCAAACGTCTTGAAGCTTTTTGGAGGATGCCCTGTCATTCTCTCGACGGCGTTGGAAGTCCCTTTCTCGAAGTCTTCCGAGGCCAGAACTTCTAGGCGGGTCAGAAATCCAGCGAAGTAGTTCGACAGACCTGCTTGGACCAGACCATGAATTCGGTTAGCTTCATCAAGCTTTACGTGCTCAATTTCACGCCCCAGAACTTCAGATAGAGTCTCAGCAATCTAAACATGTTATTTACATTAGTGCTTAGATACATCAAATTGTATTTGAAACTGATAAAGGGATAGGAAGATTAGACATACCTGGTCGTAAGTCAAGTTCTCTGGTCCAAGAATCCTGAAGTCACAGTTATAAGACTTCTCATCCGTTAGGGCGTGATAAGCCACCTCAGAAATATCATCTGCGCTGATGAAAGGGATATTTCCAGTTTGCGTGGCAGTAAATATCTTATTTAATTTGCCAATAGTAGTCGCGAGACCAGGTTCAATCAAATTCTCTTAGTAGAGCACATTATGTTAACGACTCAATCACATGAAGTGACAACAGCCAGCGATTAGGATACATACCCATGAACCAAGATGGGCGAAGTACGCAATAGTCGACACCAGCTTGGATGAGATGCTCCCAAACTCTGCCCATCCCATCCTTGCCAATCGCTGCTGACGTGCCAGCACATAAAACAAAACGATTGACACCATTCTGATTGGCAAAATCGATAAACTTGTTCATCAGCACCCATGGTTGGCTAATCCGGGGCTCCATCATGTAGACGGCGGTGATTTGCGTGTTCTTGAATAGCTTTTCCCAGCTCGACTCATCACTCAGATCAAATCGGACGGTGGGATGGCCATTTGATATCGCGTCAAGCCCCTGGCGTGAGCCTAGGAGAAATGGTTTATTCTGTGCGGCAAGGAGTGAGGCGATTCGCGGCGCCGTTTTGCCGCTGCCACCTGTGAGAAGAATTGACATATTGAATAAGTAGGGTTGTGTTATCTTTGAATTGGCCTTTATCTTAAAACTATAAACATGTAAGATGTACAAGCGCCGAGATGTATATGGTAGACAAACCAACACCAAGAGGCAGACGGATATATAATATAAACATCTATTGGTCCTTTGTTGATTACCGAATGCCGTAACCATGCTACGGCGCCTCGCGATCTTTACGGCGCTCTCGGATGCCGGATGAGTTGTCACTGTAGTTATCGTATTCCGACCGGAGATACGGGCACGGCCGAAGCTAAACTTGCAGCGGGGCGGAAGGATGATGTCGGAGGGTTGGCGCGCAGGGATTGCCTCGGATTTCTCCTAGCTCAATGAACTTCGGGGTTGTGAAGTTATAGGGATCAATCATCCTTGCCTTAGCAGAATCGCAAAACCTACCGTACAGGGTACAAGATCTGACATCTGACACGGAATGACTAATAAAAACGATTGTTTAATACCATCTCAAGTGGAAGAGAATCAAGAAGCATTGCGCTGCACACAATTCGATCCACTCTAGTTTGACCTCTATCTAATTATAGCGTTGAGGGTCACTCAGGTTACTAGTTGGCATTAATCCTTAAACAGTTAACTCCGTAGATTTTAACACGTCCCACCGGAATTACGCGATTTACTACTTGGGACGTCGTGAAGAGCCTTGAATTTCCCTGTGGCATGGGTGTGGATGGAATCAACAATACTTGGCAAGCTTGTTGGAGATAATTCATACTCATATAAAGGGTAAGGTATCTAGATTTAGGTTTACGGCTTCCTATATTACCCATTAAAGCCACTAAGAGCATTAAAGCTAATTGGTCTTATAAAGATTGTATCTTGCGTATATAGCAAGCTAGCTAAGCGATATATGTGCTAATGATAACTTCTTGAGCGTGGAAAGAGCGACGATTGTGAATTGAAAAGGAAAGCCAACTGAACCCCTTCTGCAATCTGCCTTATAAATTGCCTTTAGCTAAAAAGGAGTGATATTGGAAATCAAGAAAGGGAGGTAATAGGGAAAACACCTTATATATATAAGCCAGGTTGCTGTTATCTTCTCAGGCATATATAAAATTTCCTTATATAAAATAGTAAGATGATCAATGCATCTGTATACACTCTCTTTAATATCTTTCCCTAGTAGCTTAAGTGCTTCCACTGCTTATGCACTACAAGTAATAGGGTAAGCATTCCCTTGATTGGAGAACGCCCTATATGATCGTAAGTCCTATTATTAGGTCCTATGAGCTGGTATAGGCAACGTTAAAGACTTACAACCTGTAGTAGGCAGCATACAGCCTGGCCCCCAGCTTCATCACACGTGTCCTTAAAATCAGTTGGACTCGTTGGGGGGTGAGAAGCTATGATGATTAGATGTTCATCTTAAAGTATGCTGGGTATATAAAATTTCCTTACGAGGTGTACAGCTATTAGATAAGATTAGTTTCGTAAATGAGGATGTTTAAATAGTAGAGTAGATAAATACCCTGCATAGGATCCAAAATGTACTTCTGCTGAGCAACATTGTGGGTCCGTGTATGCAATTTGCGAACATGGTACATAAGTATCTCGACTTTCTATCTCCGAGGGCAGTGCCAGTGCGGCCCTGAAACAAGCGGCGACCATTGGGGCAAGGAGCTTCATCCTTATTAGGTATATCATATAATGTTTTCTCGAGTGTTATAGTAGTTTGGATTTCTTAAGAGTTCGAAATATAGAGTAAAGGTAGAGCTTATTTATATATAAATCCATTAAAGATAATGGCAAGATTGAATTAATAGATGTATATGCTTTCAACATCGATCGTTGTAGCTGCTACCCAATAGGATATCAAGGTGATTCTAGATAGTAATATGAAGGATGACATCTATAAACCTTGCTCAAGGCTTGATGGCTGAGCCACTTAACTGATCAACTCTTCGATTGTTATCTATTTGTCAGCAGGTCACACAGTTCACTAATCATTTAGCTGACCAAAAAAGCATCCAGTTAGCGTCTGTATGTCTTCTGAAGCTGAAATATATTATCCTGCTGTTTCGAGTGTGACGTACCAGCAGGAAGTTACTAATAGCTACGCTAGATTACAAGCTATAAGGAGGTCAGCCACTTGTCCACCCGGTCAGTTGATCGGTGAAACGAGCAAGTAACACCAACTAGTCAGCTCAGCCACTCAATGCTATCAGGTAACCAGCCAGTAGGAACCGAAAGACTCTCTAGATCAAGCACACCGAGACAAAGAGCTGTGATTAAGTGTGTTACACTTTAGTTTTTACTCTTTGAACTTGATGAAGCTGAAAAGAAATCCGTCTCGCGCCTCTATACTCCTTAGAACGACTCGGAGTGCGTCGAAGCCACTCGTGACACAGATAACTGAGGTTTCGGGGCCGAGCTCCAGGAAGTGCTTGATACGGTCTTGCAGCGTAGCTCGAAAGCTCAATCCCGGAGTTTCGACTCCTGGAAGGATCTTGGCAACATATAGTTGCTGACTGGCACGCTTCTTAGAGTCTTCGTTCCCAGTGCTGCTGAGAATCCCATGGACTGCACTAAAGTCGCCCTTAGGGCGGTACCCTCCAAGATAGATCAGCGGTACGGGATAGTTGACAGGAAATGCAGGTAGGCCACCTAGTAGGGCAAGCTGGCGAGAGGTGCTTCCGGGAGGATACATGATAATCTTATCGAAGACTTGTTGTGGTGTTGGAAGCTAAAGTATGGAATCAAAAAGGTCTAATAATGGTATGGCTGAATTCTGTGGCACGTTGTTAAGCTGATGATAGTCAGTAGAGCCGGATGTTTCAGTCTCTATATATATTACATCTAACAATGTTCCCTCCAGAGTGTTGCGTACCTGATTCATTGAAAACTTCTTCGGGTATCTATCACTTGCCAAGAACAACAGCATCGTGACTAGCTATAACATCAGAAGTGTAAAATCATTCCCTCGCCACTGGGTGTATAGGGCTGTCGAAACGGCCAGACTAGTTCCGAAATCTGCGAGCTTCCCAATATTAAGACCTACAGGCTGTGCAGCCTCCTCATATTAGAAGATTCTGTTTGGACATCTGATCGCGACCATACCACCAAACCCATCATCTTGGAATGTAAACAAAGCTCTAGCAGATACATTGAGGAGGAAAGTGACGGTATTTTCTTTTATTCAATCTCCATTTGCATTCATTTGCATTTTGCGTGCCATAGAAAACGCATAGCGGTGGGTGTTTACTATTAAGAAATGCTATATGAATGTTTTCGATTAAAGATTAGCGGCTGTATAGACTATGGCAGACATAACAGTTTATTGGATAATGAATAGCTTCAATGCCAAGCCTCACCATGAATCCTTCTATACATCATCAATATTAACTACGCAACTCTTAAAAATGTTCCACGATTTCCAGTTGACCGTAGTGCTTAACTCTATGTTAGAGTTTATAAGATCACTAATGCAAATGTTAAATCAGCTCGTCATATGGTCTTGGTTTTACAATAGAGCTATCATCACATCCCTTACTTATTAAACTTATGATATATCATAATACCACATCCAGCAGCATCTAGTAATAAACATGTAGATAAAGAGAAGGAAATTAAATAAAAACTGTCTGTTCGCTCTTAAAGCCGCCTCTCCTTCGGCCCCAATCTCTGCCAGTCATGGTTGATAGCCGAGAGAATTGAACCCCTTAACTTCCCTTCCAATATTAAGAGAAACCCGAATATTGAGTATTGCTGCCCTCTAACCTACTAGGCCAACAGGATGACCATATAATTTGGATTACGCACCTGGTGTCCCTCGGGGGTTGACACGTATTCTCATGCAACGCGTGTGTTACTAGGTGTTCTAGCTACAGCGGCGACCTAAATGTCTCACTAGTTAGGGCTGACGGGGCTTTTATTAAATAGTCTGTAACACTAGCTTAGTCTCTCGGACCCGTCGAAGCATTATCAAAAATATAGCAGCGATTTTCTTATCTTCAACTACATAGGCGTTAGCGGTTAAAAATGTGCACGGAACTTCACCGACTCCTCCGGACCGGTGACGCCTACTTTAATGACGCTGATGCTTTACGAAGTACTCACCGACACCTTGAAGTCCTACCCCACTAACGCCACAACCCATCGTGAATGGATGCCTAAAATAGAAATTGTCATACCCCAAAGCCTATCACATTATCTTGGCCAGTGGCTTAGTCTCAAACTCGCGAGATCCCCAATATTCCTCCTTAGGCCGATCTCTCTTTCTCTTTTCCCAGCATTATTTTCTATTGTCAAGTTTCATGAAGGATGGCTTCATACTGGGAGTTGTTGTGCCAATCCGAAGTCTTCGCCAGAACAGCCGGGCGTAACTCAACAGGTTCATCATGCTTAGAAGAGTTGCTCGATTCCGGTAAATTTTCTGTCGCTGCAGCTATCATCGTTAGCGCACTTTTTCTAATCGTACTTTTGAGCCCTGATAAACCTACGATTTCGGGTGCACCCGTCCATGGCCGTCGTTGGTGGTGGGAGCCGACGATGTGGCTCCAGTCTCGTTTCACCTTTGGCGCTTATGATATAGTTACAAGTGGCTACAGGAAGGTGATAGCAGCCAACCCAAGAATACATCAGAATAGACAAAGCTAATGATAAACAGTACAAGGATCGTCCTTTTGTAGTGAAGCGCTTTGATATAAACTTCAACGTGTTGCCAAATAAGCACCTCGAAGAATTGAGGCTCGTCCCCGAAACTATATTGGACCAGTCACAAGTTCAGGTAAGTATATATCACTGAGGTCTACATGTATAGGAAACTAACTTCTACAGAACATCGGTCACAAGTGGACAGACACAATGGTCGTTACTGAGTCACGCCTCCACTTCCGGACAGTCCAAAGTACCCTCGGAACTGAACTTTCAAGATACCTAGATCTGGCTAAGGCTGAGTTGGATTATACATGGGAATTATATATGCCTAACACAGACGGTAAGTAAATCGATGAGGCAAGCTTAACAATGAATAACGTTCTGCTAACATTTCCAGATTGGCAGAATGTCGATATCAATAGAGTGGTACGAATGCTGGTAGCTAGTTCATCAGCTAGAGTCTTCGTAGGGTATCCGGCTTGTCGCAACGAGGAGTGGCTGAAGTTATCCGTTGAATACACAATGGACGTTTTCCAGACTGCATTCATAATCCGTCTCTTCCCGTACTGGCTTCAGCCTATCTTTGCACTATTTATCCCCGCACGTTACCGCATTGCGAAACAAGTAGCTTTAGCATATCGCGTTCTCACACCTCTTATAAAGAAACATGCAGAGGCGACCAGAAAGAGGCAGGCTGGGGAAAATGCGAACGAGGAAGCGACGCTCTTGAATTGGATGGTAGACCATGGCACTAAAGACGAGAATAAGCTTGACAAGATCATAAGGCGCCATCTCTTACTCACGTTGGCTAGCACCCATACAACAGTTGGGGTACTTGTGAGCATCTTGTTCGACATGTGCGCTCATCCCGAATGGATTCCCGTGCTACGGCAAGAGATAGAGAATACGACGAAAGAGCTAGGTCCTATAGGTTCCAATCCCGAGATTTCCTCGAAGCAATGGCTTCAGCGGCTCGAGAAGCTCGATAGCTTCTTCAACGAGAGTCGAAGAGTGAATCCACTTGTTCTACGTTAGTACACTAACGAGCACAATTCATGAAAACTAACACTGACAGAAGAAAACAGTCGTACCTCAACGCACAGCCTTAGAGCCAGTGACGCTCAAAGACGGAACGCGCATACCCAAGGGCGCGAGGATATGTTTCGCAAGCGCCAGCCACATGAATGACGCCTCAGTGACTCCTCGCCCAGAGGTCTTCGATCCAATGCGGAGCTACAATAAGCGGCATGCCTCGCCCGACCAGAAGAACAAGCACCTCGCCGACCAGACGAGCCCGGACAATCTGACCTGGGGCTACGGCAAACTGGCCTGTCCTGGACGCCACTTTGCAGTCGCTGTGACCAAGATGATTCTAGCGAGACTGCTCGTCGAATACGATTTTAAATTTCCGGGGAATGTCACTTCTGGCCCCAAAGTCTTTTTTGCCGACGAGTTGCTGTTCACAGATCCCACCGCAAGGATCATGATGAAGCGTCGTCGCGGAGAATAATGGACGTAGGGCGTACTAGCAAGGAAGCGCTGGAGTTGATTAGCATATCGCTAGAGACTTGGAGTTCAACAAGCTCGGGCCCATAGGGCGAATTTTCTTATCATTTGTGGGTGGCATCTTGGTTGGAGGATGATTATATTATGTGCCTAGAGGAGATGAGACATGCCTTCTAGCTACCGGGTTCCGCATACCTGGAATAATGGATGCAGTGAAAGAAGCATGCATACTCAACAAGAAGCCTGTTGGGGATAGGATGTTTGGAATATTTGCATCGGTTAAGTAATGTGAGCGGAACGGGTTCGACGTAATATGGGATATGATGTAGACACGACCAGGCGGAAAGGGTAAAGACGTCAGATTGGGTATCGAGTGTGCTCTCAACTGACTATTCCTGTGTTCATGTGAAAAATGACAGTTTAATTACATAGTTGCATGTCTGCGCTCGGTTTGGCAAGCGCAACGTGAAGTCAGATATTAGATGACTGATATTGGGTTTTATGCAGTCCTACAGGGCATGGCGGCTGTTTAGGATACGACTGCGGTATCATTATCACAAACACAAACTGAAGAATCTATTAGGATATCTTGACTTTGATAACTCATTCGTGTTAAGCTATCTAAAGGTGGATCGATGCATGACTCGAACCACGCGACTTGACCAACCAGCCGCAAGACCTAGACTAGGTCTACCAAGTGATATATCTGATGGCGTGCATCATCCATCAATGATTGGTATCATTTACTCAGTTGTCCTGTTCCGTGAAAGATGACATTCCTAATTCCATTTCCGTCATAATCGTAAGAGTACATGTCTTTATGTAAGACTATTTCAATCATTCATGCTTGCCCATGCGGTCGATGCCCCTCTTGATGCGTCGGTCGACGTTCTGTGCCATCTTCTCGAGAGGCACTCGGCTCTCGATCCTCTTGACAGTGCGTGCAACGCGGGGCTCGGCTCGCTGGGCGAAGCGCTCAGCGGGGGCGGCGACACGGGAGATGTTTCGCTCCCAGCGAGGGGCCCATCTCGCGGTCTGTGAGGCGATACGTTCCTCAGCGCCAGGAAGCATCATGTAGAATGGAGCGAAGCTCGCAAGGCCGGCCATGCCAAAGATGGCAGTCTCAGAGCCTCGTGCAGCGGGAATTCGAACAGGCATGGTGGTGATTGTATTTTGTTGTTTTGATGTTGGGTAGAGTGGAGATTGGTCTGGATATGCCAATGTTAGTGGGCTTGAGATGGAAAGCGACGAGGGAGATGACGAAAGGAAGGGAGGCATCTCACCTGACTCTCTAGGGAGCCTTAGGGGGTTATTGTTATAACAAAGAAACTTCCGTCATCCGACCACTTCGACGTGAAGTAGTTGGTATAATAAGTATTGAATGTTGGTTAGAGTTGGAGAACAAAGGGAGACAGCGTCGAAAGGAGTAAGACACGGGAGAGACCTGGTCTTTAAACGGCTTGGAGGTAGGCTTGGAGGTAGGCAGGTGAAATGATGGATGGAGGGTTTCCTCCCTTCCTGACCGCTACGGCTACTACTCCCACTCCCACTCCAGCTCTGATGTGACGGGAACATGCATCTCCTCCCTTCTCCTCACCATGTTGGCCCAATGGTTATACAATATGGGTACAACCAAATGGACATGCCCATGAAGCCATCCTACAGCCATGCCGCTTTGTCGAATGGGGTACCAAATACTGAATCAGGCATGTTGGCTGCAGGCATCAAAAACCGAGCCAGGGTGGTTGAGGCAGGCCAAGCGGGGTAGCCCAATCAAAGCGAGGTCTCATCGTTGCATGACAACTCGCAGGGCCAATCATACGACCCCAAGTCGAGCGACGGTCAGCTCATCAGCGCGCCAACGCCGGCGGCGACCAGGATATCGCAGAGGGCCATGGCGACCTGGTGGTGTGTCTCCTCGCGTCGTTGCGTCTTATGCTGGTCGACTATGACGATACATGGCGCAGGATGGTGGGATTGCTCGAACGCTATTGACTCGTTACAGTGCCATCCTGGCCCATCGACACGGGCTTTTCTGTAGTGTACAAAGTATGGCATGGCATGATGGAGGGGACTCGTCCACACCATCACTCTCACACCACCATCACCATTACATATAGCACTTCTGCCTCTGACCCCTAGAGCAAACCCAAAACACAGACACAGACGTGGCACACTTGACCAATCGTTGGTGCCCCAGTTTCCGCACCCTTGATGGAGGCTCTGCAAATATAAATAAATACCTGTTGAACGGACACACACATTCTTGACATCTTTATTTTGCATCGTTTGCTTCGTCGTTGTCTCTGTTAGTCTGACGACGCGGATCCAGACTCAGGGGGCGCTCGCACTAAAGCCGCCGACTTCCCCCAGAATCCCCGCTTCCCCAGACGACCCAGACGGATTAGTGGCAAGAGTGGGCTTGACAGCGGGCGCATTATGCCCTAGAAGCACTAACTCATGGCCTAGTGTCCGCTAACACTCCACTAACCATTTGCTAATCTAGTGTCCTACCGTTCCCGCTGCTTAGAGCGGGTCCACCCCCGGATTCACTCTGTGGGGCCCGTCCAGCGACCGTTTTGGTGCCTTCGAAACCATCCACGCGATGATCACTGCCGAGAATTCACATGGCCTGCGAATCCTCCCCTCGCCCCTTGATTGATATGTGTGGCCCATTAGACGAACGCGATTTGAAATCAATATTGGCCATGACATATCGCACAGTCAAAGCTGCAATCGAGAGAACCGAGAGATGCCTTCGCTGTTGAACACGGACGAGACGATAGACATGGCTGAAATGAAGATACTAATGAAGATAACAAATCATTATACGTGCTACCTAGATAGCACGCAGGGGAGGACTGATGGCGCAAGCCAGCAAATTATAGGTAGTACGTATTGAAGAACGAGTTACTTGTCAGCATTGCGTGGCTGAACCATGGGGGGCGAGGGGGGTCAGGTGGTTCGCCTCTCAGCGACGCACGCCGAGTCAAATGGAGTCAAGGGCCGTCTGATCCAAGTCATCAAACAGACTGTCGAGGGCCTGGCCAGTGATGAGGCAGAGGCGAGGATTGAACAGGGGTTGCTGAAAGCATGTGAAGGGCACGCGACTTGCGCATAGGAGACGTCTATGTCGAGCAATCGCTCCTATGATCCTATCCAAAGCAACCATAGCGACCCTTCTCCCAACCCAAGCTAGTATCTACCTAGGTATTCATGATGACATTCCTATACTTGTATACGAATCCTTATCCTTGTGTTATTGCAGTATAGTGAAGTGAAGACGAGTTTTGATGGAATTGATATGGGATTTCGGTAGGCATGGCCACTAACCATTGTGCCGTTAGGTGCATGGACAGGCATTCAGGGGTGCAAAGTTTCAATTCATTACAGTACTGACCAACATTGGCACGCCGTGAGCTAGGCAATGCGCGACTGAGATTCTTGCTTGCTTGAATAACATCATTATCTTTTGCAATAGGTATATGATACAATAAAAAACTTCGAAAGAGTTAATTGCAAGCCAGAAATCCAACAGCTGTTTATTCCTGTTATATTCCTAGCAATAACCTGCACATTGCTTTACAGTGCGGCACTCATCAGGGGCTTAATTGACAGACGTGATGGATAGCTATGTGACTTCAGCCAACGTAATTATCACCACATGTGTGTTGCCTGCACCTATATGTCTTACTGGTAAATCTATATCTTGATGATATCCCTTACGAAAAGATGTACAGATGCTATTCTGAAGCCGCCTAGCCTAAGTATTTGATGATCACGTGACTAAGAAAGTAGTTGGATCAAGTTTCAAAAATAAACCTAGGTCGAAGTACACCCTCTAATGCACAATTGCAATTAGCTTAATTCCTAATTCACGGTAAGAAATATATAGGAAAATTAAAAGAAAAAAGGATATTAAGTGAATTAAAGTTGTTACCGCAACTTCAGTCCGCTCTGCAAATAGATAGCTCAAGTGTCTGACGAGCCCTACTCTAAGATTTTCATAGTTATACGAACTCCTCTTTGACTTCAGGGAAGTGAGGGTGTTTAGACTTCTCTGGCTTTATCCAGTGTATTTTTTGTGCCTCTGTCTCCAGACCCCCGACACTTACCCACGAATCTCCTTTAGAAGATTTTATCCACTATTGTATCTCATAGCGCCCTCGACGCTATAGATAATAAGATCGATGCGATCGAGCCGATCTATGCACATTACGACAGCATAGAGCGTCAATATCACTTCCCCACTATCTCATCTCTAGTTGTCATAAAGCTGCACCCTCAACTATCCTTTTGAGCAGACTAATTCTGCCTGCTCTGTACCATCAGTCATAGCAACTATTCTATCTTCTAAAACACCAAATCTTTCACATAACCACGTACGTCTGGGGGTGTGGGCAAACTTGTCTCTTCGGCCTGTCTTCGGGTACAACACCGGCAGGTAACTGTAGTTGGATAATTGAAGCTGTTCAGATTACAATGATCAACTAGGGCTTCAGGAGTCCTTGACCAACCAATTTCTTCTTGGCCTCAGTGGCTTGACTTGACTCTATATACAACTGTTCTGCCAGCCCAGACCGCCTAGGTCTCATTGGGTTGTTTCATGAAGCAAAGTCTTTATAACTTCATTTTCCAATATTGCCTACATGTCTTTGAAGATCATGAACAGCTCGCATTGGCCTTTCGTACAGCCAAAGCGTAAAACGAACTATATGTATATGTTCAGCTTGTAAGTGTGTAACACAGTGCTACCTTCAGGAACGATCAATGGAGGTCTAATCACGTGATCTAAAGTCTGAACTGTAACCTGTAGGCCTACCATTGGAGATCTCCTTATTAATAGAGGAACAATATGAACACAAGCTATTCAGTGATTGAGGCAGCCAAAACTGACTTGTATGAGTATCCCCAACTCTATCAGCTTTATTGAGAGAGACCCAACTCCTCAATCAGTATCTCTGCAGCCTTTTCGCCAATGACCATGGTAATATTATTGGTATGAGCACCAACATTGTGTGGTATGATGCTTGCATCCGCAATCTTTAAGGCAGTGACATTGTGAACGCTCAGATTAGCATCGACTACGCCATTCTTATCCAACGGTAGCATTTTGCATGTTCCTGCGGAGTGCCATGTCGTGGAAATGTGGTTTCGAAGCCACCTTTCAATCGCAGCATCATCTTCAGCAGTGTACTCAATGTCCTCGATGTCCGTCGCTGGTGGGCCATGCAGTTTGACACAAGCTGCCTTTGAGTCTTTTCCGAACTCTGGATGTAGCGTAGCTACCTCGCCGCGATAAACGCTCATGCGACGAGAGATCTCACGTTGTGCCTTGTAAGCCCAGATACACTTCTTGATATCCACACCAGCTTTATCTGTAAATATTGCCGGATCGAAGTCCAAGGGGTCATCTAAATTTGGACCTGTTACGTGTATGTGGCCAGTAGATAATGGGTACAGGTTAAAGACTGAATTGCTGAAGTATTGCCCCACTGGGGCTGTAAAAGGGTCGGCGGCGTTACTAGTAATAAACGTTAATGACGATCTTGTTCATACGAGGGGTTTAACCGTAGCTTCCTACCCAGCGACTAAGGTTAGACCGATCATTGGCTTGTTGAATATATTGGCGAATGTTCGATTCCACTCGACTTCGAAATCAGGACCCAGGGTGACGACGTCAGAAGGATTAGGTCGAAGCTTCCCGGTGATCTCAAAGCCGTTCCAACCCAATATCTCATCGTTTCTTTGCATCATATCAGGGATGTCAAAGTTTCCATTCAAGAACCCATCTAGAGTCTCTCGGATGTCCAGACTCGAATGGTATGGGTACGAGCAGACATAATGATCATCGTAGGTCGCGCCAACCCCTGGAACCTGGGCAACAAGTTCGATGCCAGAATGCTTGAGGATGATTGGGTCGCCGACACCAGATCTTTCTAGCAAAAGAGGTGTTCCACAAGCTCCGCTAGAAACAACCACCATCTTTGTTGCTTTGATTCTACGAAGCTCCGCCGATTGCATGGGTGCGTAGACTACACCCGTCGCTCTCTTCGTCTCATCGAAAATTATCTTCACCACCCTAGATTCCACCAAGACGTGCAAGTTCGGATGCTTGCCGTCTTGGAGACGTGGGTGAAGGTAGCAATGCGCGGTGTCTTGCCGTTTACCGTCCGGTGAAATATAGCGTAATGCACGTTGGATGCCATTATTGGTTTCCAAATCTCCTAGATCTTGAAGTTCTTTCCAGCCCATTCGCGCACTGGCGGCCACAAAAGCCTCTGAAAGCCGAGGGGAAGAATAAGTGCCCAAAGATACTTGAATTGGGCCATCAGATCCATGCTGCTCTTTACGCCCAGGACCATGGTATGTTTCAAGCTTTTTACTGTTCAGCCAGGCAATCGATCTAGATCAAGGCTTCAACTCGTACCTTTTTCATCAGACGCAACATCTCATCTTGAGACCAGCCAGGAGACTGCCAAGACTCTGCATCAGCTTGCTGGATCCGACTATACATCAGCATATTTACAGACGAACCCCCACCTAGGCTCTTCGCAGCAGGAACAATCAGCTCTCGATTAGCCAGCGCGATGGACTTATTCCCTTTCAAGAATTGCATTCTAGGACTTTCAGGAGATAAATGGATAGGATACATGGCAGGGAAAGTGACAGAGGGATCGCCATTGTTGTCCGAGCCTTGTTCAATGACCAGAATGGAAAGGTTGGGATCCGCATCAGCAAGTCTTGAGGCGACAATGCAGCCCGCTGTGCCACCTAAAGTTCCGATCAACCGCATGACACCGGGGGGGGGAGTGATTGGGGGATGGAGAGCCTACCTCCTGCTATGACCACATCTACCGTATCGAGTTGTTTCGGGAGTTGAGTGTAAATTGGCATTTTGGATAGCAACTTTACTGGAAACTGAAATATAATCTCAGACTTGAGACGAGCGTTGGAAATGGAGATACCTAAGCGAATAGTACACCAGGACACGTACTCTCACGTTGCTTATAGGGCTTATTTCGGGGGAATGTGAGCCTGTTCCCAGCTACTTATCGCAGCTAAACGCCTCGGAGATGGAGTCTTGTATGTGGAGAGAACAGGATACGCAATTAATTCATTTAAATTGTTGAGCGAGATAGCTCCGCTGGTTTTGATTTGAAATGAGCAGTCTACTCTCGTTAACGCTAGGGGTAGAAAATATGTTCGCACCTTACAAGGAGAAAAAGTAGAACCGCATTACCCCGCCTCCTAATTACGCGTCACACGGTCAAGTCTGCCAAGATTGGATAAGGACAATCTGTTAAGCTGCAAAAGAACCAACAGTTAAGGCATGAAGGCCCAACGGGCAGAAGGGAGTCATAGATTGTATGAGGCCTGAATGAGCATAAATAGCCCAAGGAATCTCCTACTCAGAAGGAGGAGAAGGAGAGAGATCAAGGCCCTAGAGACCCCTAGTAGAATATTATTGAATATGACTAAGTTCCAAGCCCTCTATAAGAGCCCTTGTCACATTACGCTGATCGTGGGGCCTTGCTAAATGCACCCTCAAAGTCGAAATACTAAAGGGTCTTCGCAACAACAAGGCTAACCTCGAGATAGAAAAACAATGCTGTCATGCCGGTAACCATAGTCTGGCCTCCTTTGAGGTCATAACCAAATGCCAGGTAACCTATAACATCTATACCGAAATATTTACATCGATCTGACATATTTACTGGCTTTGAGCCTCGAGATAGGACTATCAACTGCTGGATGTAGATATCTACCTGCTCCATCACTGAAAACTTCGGTGTCAGAATATCGATTCACAATGGATTCTACCAAGAGCAGTTGGAAAGCGCCATATATAGGACTTACTCATCGGTTCAAAATCCCTCATCGAACTCTTAGAAAGTACACGCCCGATAAGTCTCCGCTTAGCTCGGTGTAATTACATAACTGAGAAGATCTGAAAGCGTTGCGATTACAATGAGGCTTAAGTCTGCCGTGCTGGTTTGGATTAAAGGTCGACTAAGAAGGTAATTTAGTGCGAGACTAGACGAGTGGTGATCGTATGAAGTTCTCGTTGGAGCTTTGTTGTTGTTGCTGTTAGTGCACTGCATAAATAGACCTGCATCCTGCAGATTTATACTAACATCACTAAATTATTGAGCTATCCCGACGTGACTGGTAGCTAGTCACCGAGTAACTGTAGTGATTGGCTGTCATCAATACCCTCAGGCTAAGGCTGAATTCATCATCGTTCGCGTCATCATATTTATTATCTCTCTTACGAAACACAAGTCATCCAGGATATCTTCAGTGAATATGAAGAGGTTAAATGGAACATCCTACTCTTTTGTTTCTGAGATTCGGCTGGAAACAAGGGTAGCCGCAGTATTCATCGCATTCAAGCATCACTACTACCAACTTTTTCAAGTTCCGGCCCTGCTTCTTCCCCGCTTCACCGTCCTCAGCTTCCACGGTATTAGTATGATCTGAGACGGTCCATATCATGAGCAGTATAATTACGAGCAACTCGAACAGAGACATAATTCCATAGCTAGTTATGTCAGACAACTTCTATGAAACGCATTGAGTCCCCATGCCATCGCACCTCCCGTAGCTTGCAGCGTCTGATATGCGCCAACGAGGATGGCGGTGCGCGCAGAGCTGTACAACTCTGTGCCAATGAGCCAGTATGCAAAGCCTCGTCACAATGCGTCGCAGCCTTCACAAACGGCGCACAAGGTGATCGGGTCGGCTAGTATTTTGCAAGTAGTCGATGTTCTGTGACGAGGCCCGGCAGCGAAGCGTATGTTCTCTCACAGTTAGAACGCGTATCCGCCTCTCCAGATCACCACGCTAACGACAATCAAGACAGCCCGGCCGATGCGAGCACACGTACCCTGGCTGAACCATAGCACATCAAGGATGAGGCCGATGATCAGACTGCTGAGCATCTGCGCTATCCTGCGCCACTTAAGGAGCGAGCACGGATGTTGAATGTGCGACTGTTGACTTCATTTTGTCGGTAACTGTGAAAACGTTTGGAGAGTAGAACAGCGGTACCAAAACTTACCAATGGATACAATTCCTAAGTGATAATTAGCTAGCTGGGCTCGTATAGAAGCAGTGACATGGACATGCGTTTGGTTTCTGATCAAGATCTCTGAGTGAGATCCTGGGACAGGCTTTTCTGCCAACAATCGAGCCCCATCTCTAATTTACATGAGTAGCAAGGCTCAAGATTCCTTTGCGCCAACCGGGCTAACTTTTCGCACCTCACGGATCGATATCGTCACCACACCTCAATTCAAAAACAAGGGGGCCGTGGATACTCCCGCAACAATCGCCTGACTAGGATTAGGGTGTGATGAGGATATCGATCCGTGAGCGGTGCAAAAAAGTTGGCCCGCGCAAACCGGAACGCAGTAACCAGCGCCGATGTTAGCGCGATCCCAAAAGGGCAACACCCGGGGTAATCGTCCGGCGTTTGGCCTCGGCGATCTTGTCAAGTTAATTTAGCCTAAATTACTCAGACCGTACAAGGACCGCCCAAACGCCCGTCTTTCGGGTTATACAATCGCCGCATCACATATTCATCTTGGTGGCATGACTGATGTGGTAGCGTGCCCGCAAGGCCCAAGACCTAAGGCGGTGTATAGCCGCCGAAGTCATAGAGATCTATGGAGCAGATTCACACGAGGTTGGGGGCATCCTTAGCGTCTTCCGGGTGTCCGAATACAATACGAAGCATACACAGCAAACATGTTTATTAAATGGTTGAAAGGGGAGGCATGGAAAGAATATAAAAAGAGGCTCTTTTCCCTATAATGCCCTTGAATTGACTTACCAACCCACCGAATTCAAGATCTACCGGCAGAAAAACAAGCAGAATGGTTTCGTTTACATCCATCTACTTGGCGGCAACTGTTCTGGTTGGAGCTGTCACCGCCCTGCCTGCGCCAGTGAACGGCACAAGTGATCTCCAGGAACTCCACGACCGGGCTATCACCTCGTCTCAGACCGGCTATCACGGCGGCTATTACTATAGCTTCTGGACCGATGGCGGCGGTTCCGTTTCCTACGATAATTGGGATGCCGGAACTTACCATGTAGAGTGGAGAAACGTTGGCAACTGGGTTGGCGGCAAGGGTTGGTCTACAGGTAGCACCAGGTATGTTCATGATTTTTTACTCTTATATAGCCTACGATGATCCGTATCTATGACTGTAGGCAATAATGGAGGCCGACTTCACTTACACCCAAGATCTACCCTTGAAACGAAACATGCGCATATATTGCGATTGGCCAAGTACTTACCCATGACGAAAACAGGAACATCAACTTCGGTGGTTCCTACAACCCAAGTGGTAACAGCTATCTTGCTGTCTATGGGTGGACGCAGGTTAGTAGATAAGAGCATCTAGTCACTCCTGCTCTGCCTAACAATTCTGTAGGGCCCTCTGATTGAGTATTACATTGTTGAGAACTTTGGAACCTACAACCCTGGTTCTGGTAAGAGAGCAAATAGCCCGTGGAAATCAACCGCATGAGACTCATACTAATCCATTTCCAACTAGGCGGCACGCACCTAGGAACCGTGTACAGTGACGGCTCCAACTACGACATCTATTCGGCGTGGCGAAACAACGCACCTTCGATTGAAGGAACCTCTACTTTCCAGCAATTCTGGTCTGTTCGCCAGCAGAAGCGCAGCCAGGGCACCGTAACTACTGCCAACCACTGTATGTTTTCTAGTCCAGCGTATTATTTATATGTGGTCGAAGGCTGATTATATTTCTTAATTATAGTCAACGCTTGGGCCCAGAAGGGTCTCAGACTTGGTAGACACAACTACCAAATCATGGCTACAGAGGGCTATCAGAGCAGCGGATCTGTTACTATGACCATTTCTTAAACGCTTGAGTATCGGGTCCTATTACTGTGCAATTCGCCATGCGCGGTAGAGCTGACGGATTACGAGTCACTCTGTGCGGTGGGCTTTGCGCTTGCCCCGCTTCGTGTAAAATAGGGGGGTTTTGTCCCTTTGATGTGCTGCCTTTGCACGAGGATTTTTGAAATGTATATATCCGTACAGGCACTACTAGGCAGACCTAAATATACGTTGTATTTCACCGCGTTTTAACACGTCCATTATCTTTGAACTTTACCCTGGAAGTTCCTAGAGCATGCTACAGTCTACTTAATAAGCCACACAGCCAGACTGGGGAGATACCTATAGGACGCGTCAGCAAGCCATAAGTGGAAAATCCTGGAAACAGCCTTCAGCGTAGAATTTGTATGGCGTGAATGGCGTGCAACATGTGCAGCAGTCCTGTCGAACAATCGTAAAGGGGGAGAAAAAGGGGTATCTACCTTAGGTACATACCTATGTAAGCAGCAAATGATTATCCTTGCAATAGGGATATTCAACAATGCCATATTACTACCCCACGCTCCAAGGCATCTTCACCCCACCAAAGCAATCTTTTCGGCCCCCTTCGCGGCTACCCCCTAAGGCAACCCCCTACGCGGTTGACCCCTATTCAGCCCCCTCCGTAGCTGACCCCTAGCCCCCAACTTGGGGCCTTAGGGGCAGGATCAGGATGCAATGGCCGTTAAGTGCGCCGTCTAAGGCTGCAAGTTGGAGAACTGGAGATGAAAACATATGAACATGAAACCAAGACAGTCATGTTTTAAATACTGTCGCATTTCTTCCCAGCCCGATCCTTGCGAAGCAAGCGCCGAGTTATAATAAATGCCAGACACGTCCATCGAGCCATCCGAGACAACCTTGAAACAAGAATCCGGTCCCCAATGGGGGGTTAACAAAATCCCAATCATTGGGGTTTTACACATATATCCATCACCACGCCTTCTCATCCAATAAATCTCGGCTTTTAGTAGAGAACTGTCGCGATCTGAGGCGTTGGGGCTCTGTCGAGGTACAGTGCCTCCCTCCTAACTTGCTAGGCCAATAAAGGTACGTGGAGGCGACTAGAAGGGGTGCAGATAATGAAAAGACGGCTAGGCATAAATAGAAAGTTCTATGCTCGGCTAAGAGACAAAAAAAGCCACGGAGCCGCATACTAGCAAACTGAATTTCTTTCTCTTTACGTCTTAAGTGTTGAGTAGAGAGTTTTGTATTCACATACCCAACCAGTGTAATGAACAGCATATCGTCGCGAAGTCCCTCCCGAATTAGGAGCCTCGAACTCACAGTAGAAAGGAAACTTGGGGAATCGAAAAGGCTGGTACCACCCTCTGCGCCTGATTGGTATCGCTCCACGAAACCCTCGAAAAGTCTCGAATCAGACAGCGTGCCGCTTTCTCAATCTGAACGGAAACCGTTCTTACGGCAGAGTTTATTTCGGTGGAAGTGGGAAATTCTGGGGATGCTCCTTAGCCTGGCGTCTCTTACGGCGTTGATCATTTTGTTAGCAGTCCAGGATGGTCGAAGAATGGATTCTTGGACAACCCTTTTTACCTTGAACACCTTCGTGTCTGTGTTAGCCCAAACCTCACGTACTTCACTGGCCTTCGGTGTTGGTTCGAGCCTCGGACAAGCTAAGTGGAATCTTTTCAATAGGCGGCCTGGGAACTTAGTACAGTTTGAAGCCTTCGACGAAGCCAGCAAGGGACTATGGGGAAGCTTGAGTCTTATGTACCGTTTGCATTCGAGGTGAGTCCATAAGCCCTTCACGCCCCAACCCTTTGTTCCTAGACATACATCCATGCATACCTCATTTCCAAGTCTGTTCAGAATTCGAATAACCAATTTTACGACGAAGGAATCCAGCCATGATAGGCGCCGTGGTGATTACGGCACTCCTTAGTTATGAGCCGTTCTTCCAAGCCACCATTACCCAATATGGCGAACTGCATAAGGAAAATTCGAGCTTAGGAATTAGAGCTTCCATCAATCGAACCTAGAGACTCGATGTTGGTACACTCTTATCCACATCGCTTCTTAATTATGAAATTGCCCCGGATGAGCCCTTCTCCTGGTTTACGGAACCCGATTATAGGATTTTAACCTCTCTGTACGATGGATTTTCGACTTCGATAACACATGCTACACTCCCTTATTTCACATGCCCTACCGGTAACTGTACCTTCGGAATGTTTACCTTACTTGGCATCTGTAGCGCATGTGTTGATGTATCATCGCATATCACCAAACATGAAGTTCCATTCTTTCCGGGCATCACGGGGTATTACCTCCCACACAGAGATGAACCCATCGTTGAAAATAATGATGGTTTCAGAAATGTCACGGTTGAGAACTTTATTGCAGGTACCCTGTCTGATGCGGCAGTTGCTCTCTTTCCTGAGGAGACAATCTCGTTTGACAACACCGTGAACAGCACCACATTCATGGTACTGAGGATAGTCCAGTCTCAGCTCGACTATATAAACAATATCTCTACATGGGCCACTGCTCATCCAAAGGCGACAGAATGTGGGCTCTATTTCTGCACAAATCTATACTCCGCTTCTATCGTTGAGGGTGTGCTAAATGAAACGCTGCTAGCGTCTTGGTCTAATCGAGATGCAAATTCGTATGAAGCACGTGGTAACCTTAGTCTCGCTCCTGATGACTGGCAACCTCACAAATTGTACAGCTATCAGGATTTCACTCGATCAGACCTGCAACTCTTCATACCAGATGATAAGGCGGCAGCGTTACAAATACCGAACGACCAGCCCACGCAATTCAACATTTCACAAATTACCATTCAAGCAATGATAAATTTGCTGATTCATACTATCTGCTCAAGTGATTTGAGGTTCCCTGCAAAGAATGCTTACCCTATTACTAGCACAGTCGGTATTGGCGACATCATTGGAAACTCTAGCGACTTGAACGCCACGTTTCGGGCCGTAGCCGAAAGCATGACCGCCTATATACGCAACCAGGGGTACGAGAGCTTTCCACAGTACGGTGTTTCCCAAAGTTGGGTTCTACACTACCGGATTCGCTGGGAGTTTATCTTGCCTCCACTCATTCTTACGCTCGCTGGGTGTGTCTTCTTAGTATATACCATATGGGAGACCCAATCGCTTGGGTTAACAGCTTGGAAAGAGAGCACGCTGGCTACACTCGCCCACGGCCTGGACATATTAACGAGGACTAAATTGAGGGAGGCCTACCGGGATGGTACTGAGGATAGGTCGGCTCGAGGTATTACGGTTTTGGTAGAGAAGTCTCTAGGTGGTCTCGAGCTTTGTGAGGTTCGTCCTAGCGACACATCCCAGCCTGCACCGCACACGAGTTCGCGGTCAGTGCACACGGAACCTGTCTAGTCTCCGAGGGGTTTTATATGCCTTCAAAGCGAGACTCATTGAGTACGGCGCAAGGATTAGTTAAAAGGAGTTGTCGCAAGAGTACTTTTCTCTATGGGCTTAATAGGAATCAGTACGGAGCTTGGCGTTGACCTGTTACGCATTCAATCGCCGAGAAAGCTATTAAAATGAGTTTCTTATAGACGTCTTAAATCTCGGCTGGAGTTCGAAATCTGGTACTGGGAGCATTAAGCCTTAAATATTATCAAAATAGGCGAGCCAGTTAATTAAAGGTTCAAAAGTGTATGTATTTGTCAAATATAAGGGGTTATATCTTTAGTAAGGATATCGGATAAACGGGGATCTTAGGGTAGATACCTCGGCGCCACTTCAATTGCGACACTACCTACGCCGACAAGCGTGTTTTGTTCTTGACATAGCGTCTTTTCCTTCTTCCAACTAAGACCATCCATCCATCACTAGTAACCCTTCACTTTATCTCCCTCCCTATTCTTTAAGCAAAAGCCATGCCATCATCCAAGCATAATAACGCCCCATGTCAAACTCGGCTCCCACCGCTTCCCCCGATATAACCTGCCTCACGCCCGAGCCCTTCGTGCCGAAGCCACTCATCGCCGACATCCTGCGCACGCGCTACTGCGTGCCCGACTCCATCTTCCTTGTCGAGGGCGTCGATGTCTTCCACACCTCCAAGTCGAAACGATGGCGCGCTATCCGCCTGCTCCTCGGCGACGGCGAGCTGTGCATCCAGGCCCTGATGGCCCCCGAGACGCACCGCTTTGTCGATCGCGGTGAAGTCGTGCTTGGTGTGTACATAAAGCTGGAGAAATTCCGCTTTGAGTGTCAGGATATTGAGAACAAGGAGACCACATTCTCACCGGGGAAGGAAAGTGAAGTTGAGCATTCGGATGAGATGGGGGCCGAGGAGTCTGATGAGGAGGAGAAAAGGAAGAAGAACAAGCCGCGACAGATGGTCTACTTGATTGTGGATAGTCTAGATATAGTCGGATGGCACAACGCATTGATTGAATCCTCTATGGACGACGAGGTAGAAGTAGATACAGATGTCGTTGAACCCGAGAATGTTGCACATGAAGAGTCTCCCAAGCCAGAAAAGGCTCAACAGTCCCAGCAAACAGTAATGGCACAACCCGATTCCCCTCAAGAAGCGAGGGAGAGAGATCTTTGGGAAAGAGTCGAACGCGATACAGCTCTTAGAGAAAAGTCAGAGCGAGAATTCAAGGAACGAGAGGCTAAAGAGCGAGAGGCCAAGGAGACAGAAGCTGCCCGCCAAAGGGAAGCCGAGGCAGCGAAACTCGATAGCCAACCAGCAGACGCAGACGATGATTTCGAAGTCATGCGTATTTCCAATGACCAAACAACTCAGAAGCGTGAAGCAGCAGCAGCAGCAGCAGCAGCAGCAGCAACAGCAACAGTAACAGTAACAACAGCAACCACCTCCACAAACCGCACAAAAGACACCGCCCGTCCACCCCAGCCAAGCTACAACCACATACAACCTCTAAAGCTAACCAAACTGCGCTCCATCCCAAATCTACCCTACAAGCAGAACTGGAGCGTGAACGTGCTGTGCGTAATATCAGCCATATCTGACGTCGAACCAGCAGGGATACCGCCCTACACGCAGCGCCAAGCACGTCTCACCGATCCATCGACAGACAAGCACGTTCTGCTGACGGTATTTCTCGACGCGCACCTCTTCACGCCCAAAGTCGGCAGTATCGTCTTACTCGTCGGCGTCAAGAACCACCGCTTCGACGGCGGCAGTTTGAAGAAGTACGACAGCGATCGACCCAAGGCAGGAGGGAGCTGGTGGTTCGAGAACCCAGGGCATCTACCATGGTGCGACGTGGCTGGGTTAAGTCTATGGTGGGACGCGTTTGGAGCGTAGCAATGATAGATACATAAATAGATGAAGAAAAATTTTATTATAAGCATTGAAAGTTGCGCACAGACCTTTGAGTATCCGGGACAGTGCGAGTGACGAAATCCGATCATATCTCGGCAATAGTCGCCTCTTTTCTCTCATGGAATCAATCCTCTCCTCAGTCTATAACTATGGCTCGACCTATACGAGCCCTCTAACCAGATCTAAATAAGGGGCAGTTGTATATATTGACTGTCATCAGCTTTAAGCCATGTCTTTCTTCTTGACTAATAGACTAAACCCGACAGTATCGTCAGCGCCAGATACATTATCGCGATACGTAGTAGGCAGTATACAGAGCCTACTTTTCGCGAAATAATAGCATCATGCTGTGGCTAGTAGTGATGAGGGGATTGTACTGCGACGACCGTAAACTCGAAGTTACCAGTCGCTCCTAAGTGATCAGATCAGATCAGAGAGGTCTGTGTCTCAACGGCCATGGTTCAAGTGGAAGCATCTGGGTTGAATAGAGATCCAAGCGACGTACCGTACTAGAGTCAAAGTCACTGATAGCAAGCTAGTTGCTAAGACCTGTTGAGGCTCTTGTGAATAAACTCTTGCAATTAGTATCGTGGTAGCTACACTGCATTGAATACATGCGGGTTCTTAGTCTTCGCTATACCCTCATCTATAAGTTGAGAAGAAATTTATTACGTCTGCGAGTCGAGTCTTCTTCATTCAACCTTAACCTGCCTATGCAATCCTTAACAGTACCCATCAGGTAGAAGCGTCAGAACGATACACAGTTCGGAGTTCCGCAACACCAGCACGGCAATCAATCACACCCAGCTACCTCAATTGTTCAATTAAACAAATCTCAATTTGATTATCAAGAAACAGCTCAAGTCTTAACCTGCACAACAACCACAACAGCCCATCCCCGAATACTCTCAATCAATCCAAACTCATTTTCTAGTCGAAACGCGACTTCTTCCGCAGTAATCACCATCTTCGCGCCATTACTTTCTTTCCCAGTTCCCTTTTCTATACTCTTCTTCGTGGCGGGGACCCCTACCCCGCTACCCTCCCCCTTGCCCCGCAGCATTTCAACATCACTCTTCACACTCTTCGTCGCAAAAGTCTCGTTTCTTCCAGAAGAGGAAGAGCTTCCTTTCTTTCCCCAGAGCCCCCATCCACCTCTCTTCTCTTTCTGCGGCGGTATACGTGCTTCAACAGCTGCCTGCACGTGAGTCTGAACAATAGGTGGTGGTGGTGGTGGTGCAGGCGGAGCTGTCGTCGGGGAAGGTTGTAAAAGGCGCGCGAGCCGACGGGCCATTTTCTCATCGTTCCACCATAATAAGCTGCGCGTGTTCTTCGAAGAAGAAGGAGACGAAGAAGAATTTTCATCTCCGAATCTTCCCCAGTCGCTGAACTCTCGACCAACAGGCCAGTCTTCGCTATTGGCTGCAGCAGCAGTATCAGCGGTAGCCCCTTGCTTTTCACTATCACCGCTGAAACAATTCACTCTCGCCACCCGACAAGCCTCTCCGCGCTTCCGCATCTCTTCCATACCGCTCAGGACCGCTTTATTCGGGACAGCGCCGTCAGGGACGAGGGTCAGATGAGCGAGCTTGGGCGTAGTATCCTGCGTGCCCAGATATGCTAGGAAATCATGGATCTCGGGTACTATGAGTTCAAGAAGTGAGTCATCGTCGAATAATTGCTGAATGGAACGAGCCTCTTGTGCCTGGCGAATACGGTTCGTTAGGCATTCTAGGTGCTGTTCTAAGGCGGTGGCTGGATAGTTCTCTGATGAATCTGAGCTGAGTGCGGTATTAATAGTATAAGGAGGTGGCAGCTCCTCTTCGAGAATGTGTTTAGAATCCATCTTGGGGCTAATTAGTTAGCTCAAAAGTAAAGAGTGCAAGTATAGCGCCGATAGTTGACTGGGGCGTCACTAACGGACTGGCGATGGTTTGGCGTGACAACAGTAATGCTTATAGAGAAGAGAGAAGATTGACTCTGTGCGTAGTTGTGAGGCTATCAAGTAACAATGTGGTTTCTGTAGGTACTATTTTGACTGAGAAGTTGATATTTGTTTTAGGCGAATGATATATTGAGACGCGGATCTTGGTTATTCCAGGAATCGATACTGGGAGGTCAATGCTCGTTTTCTTGAAAGACCGTAGATCTGAGGGAGGGGGGCTCTCTGTCTTGATAATGGGCCTTGTATCTGAAACAATAGTTTTCGTTAAATTTCGATGTTTGACTGAGGTGATGACGCCGTTCGTTTCACGTGGATGAATGAAGGTAGCGACGGCGCTCATAGTAGGCGAGGTTTGGAACACAAGAGTGGTGCTCATTATAGGCGGATTTATAATAAGAATACTCACAATTTTAGAAGGACCCGTCCAAGTTCACACCGAACGTGCCGTTACTTCCATTTGATCATATACAATAGCTCAACGGAGTGAGTGAGTCCCCGACTGGCGCCGCGACAGAGTTCACCTCGATTCAGGCACATGTAGCTAGGCAATCAGGTAAATGAGATAACTTAGATAATAAACAGGCGGGCGAGAGCTTCAACAAGATTTTTGAGGACTGAACTGAAAAGTGATGATGAACTCAGTTGCAGGGAAGGACTGCAGGTGGATAAACCGGCCGTCCCGGGTATTGCTTAAGCGGGTTCACAGCCACTGAAGAGGAATGAATAAAGATGGCATAGGTGTTTGCAGGGGAAACCAGCAGTATGCTGCGCCATTACCGCATGGCATAAAAGTTAACAAAGAACTTTTGTCTTCTCGGTCTATATCGTATCTATCCGTATTTCGTGCCGTGCGTATGTAGCCCACGTGTATCTATCTATCACTGCCTTCGACTGCCAAGAAGGCGAAGTGTAAGTAAGATCGAAAGGGATTACCTACTTATGTGTAATAAAGTAAGTAGTATGCAAATCATATAGATACCCCAAGCAACTCAGGTCGACCGTCTCTGGACCGTCTACGTAGTAGCATTCAGCCTTGCATTCAGCCGTTGCCACTAAGTGACTCGCTAAGGGTTCTCTCTCGAACGGGTTTCCGCAACCGACGGGGATCAGCCCATTCAAGCGAAGCCAGGGATACAATCGCCACTAATGCAAGTGAGCTCGGTATTGTTTTCGTCTTGGTGCGTCTATCGTCATGGAATGGAAGTTCCAACGTCGGAAAAGGGCATCTTTATGCCTGAAATCACACCATTCCAACCATCTTTGCTGTTCTTTGCCAACGGGTTGTACGATGTCACGCAATCCATGCAATGTCAGCTCGAACTTGTGCAACTTGTTCTGTGGAAGTGTTCCATCGCTCATAGTAACTCGAAGTAACGGGGCGGTGCTAGATATCCCCGCACCGCACCCGTCAAACGGTGGGTACCCGTCTAAGTACGCTTACCAAACGAACCAGTTAGATAGAATGTCCTTCAAATTACCTTAGTTGAGGCGAGAATACCGACTGTCTTATTATTACTACCTACCGGGTAGTGAGAGTGGAATTACTACTTCGCTACTACGGGCCTATATGTACTTGAGATTCTGATCAGGCGTCAAACTAGGGGCAGGCAGTGTAGCTCACGACGCCACTGATCTATCTAACCTACCGGTAGATTAGGTAGGTAGTGCAAAAAGATGCGAGGATCAGAAGCGGGAGTCTGCCTTGAGCATCCCTCTCTTTCCGCCTCCCTTTCCGCCTCCCTTTCCCCAGGCGCCGCTAGGGTACTGCCCGGGCTTAGATCAGTTCTGTGCCGTTTCCATTTACATGATATCTACATGATTTACTACTGTACTTCGTAAGTAGCCATTCAGAGTCCCTGTCTGCGATTGTCATTGGATACAGTAGCCCCACTCATCATCTGTCCAGTTTCCGTGGCAGACCCTCGTCAATTTCCAGATTTCCAGGCCGTTTCACATGGGAAATCTGGGGGTGTGGCACCTACCTGTAGTAGCATGCCATTGCAAACCACATGGGAGATCAGAAAGCAACTTCAGCGGACATCAAATGGTAACAGGTATAGTGGCAAGGGGTCAGCAGAGTCACAAGTAATAAGTGCCAAGGTAGCTACCTACTCGCCTCCTTAGCTCAAGGTTAGTATTCTTGGTTTAGCTGCGCTTAGCATAGCTACCGTGAGCGAGCATCTTAGTTAGTATTATCGCTCACCCTTTAACTTCTACACGTGCACAAGAAAGACCCGGAGGCGGAGTTGCGTCTGAGCTTGAGAAGCTTGGAAGGATGAATCGGCCTCCGGCTTACATGTATTAGGTCCACCGCGAAGCTGAACCGATGACTTACTTTACTTATGCGCCAACCCTGATGGTGCCCCATGCCGTTACCGCATCTCGTTGTTCCAAGATCCCTTTATGCCTTAGCTGCCTGCCGCCTAGATACTTCATGTGTAGAGGCTGATACAACCGAACTCTACACTACGCCCAAGCCAAAATGCGTGCGGTAAGGTTACCCTATTTAGGCACTCTTCTACGCGAGATATGTGCTAAAACAGCTAGATAAACCTTGTGAGGCTGTGAACTACTTGTTTCCCTTTGTATTGCCTAACATCATGTGGAAGTATGTAGGTTTCGGCTTGGCACAGCCACCCAGTCGTTTGCCAGCAAATTTCCAACTCCAGCGTAGAACAAGGTCAAAGGAATCTTATAAATACAGACATGCATATCCTACCCCTCGGGACTTGCTAGTGAGTTCCTTACTTATTTGCTCGCTCAACATCAGTATCATAACTGCTAGGGGCCGACGACATCTTCGATCTTCGCCTCCTTTCCCCCCAGCTCAACCACTCACCCTGTAACGCTCACTTTCTCACTCAACTTAGTATATTGTTCTGCAAGAAGGAGGGGCCTATATCCTCAGGCACCCTTTACCTGATCAATCGTCACCTTACTCGTCACTTTCTAATCTGACAATACCGTCAAAATGTCGTACAAGATTGCTGCACCTGATGAGTACCTTGCCATCACTGGCATGTCCATCAAGAATGTGCACATCACCAAGGCTGCCTGGGTACTGCCATTCCAACGATGCACTCGCTTCTCCGTACAACCCCATGACTATGCCATGAATTTGCAGGGTAAGCTGCTATTTCCTATAGCCCGCCTGATCAACGCTGTTTGCATAGACGCCAACTAACTGTTCGCCAGCTATGACCAAGGAGAAGCTGCAATTCTTGCTGCCAGTCGTATTCACTATTGGCCCGTACGTCTGTCTCTGTCTCATTGCGCTTCTACTCCTGAACATGTAATCTAACTGCAAGCCACCTACAGTGATGTCAACGCACGCGGTGCCAACGCCAAATCCGTAACCAATGCGTCTTCCGGGGAACATGCCCAAGACGAGGATCGCGGGGACGCACTCATGAAGTATGCCATGCTATTGGCAGACTCTTCAGTAAAAGTAAAAGCGGCGCAATACCTCGAGAACATCGTCAAGGGAATCATCGAGGGTGAAACCAGAGTGTTGGTTTCCAGCATGACGATGGAAGAGATCTTCACAGAGCGAGAGGAATTCAAGCGCCGCATCTTCCGCAACATCCAGGGCGAGCTGGACCAGTTCGGCCTCAAGATCTACAACGCCAACGTCAAGGAGCTCAAAGACGCCGTCGGCTCCACGTACTTCCAGTCGCTTTCGCAGAAGGCGCACGAGGGCGCCACGAACCAGGCCCGCATCGACGTCGCAGACGCCCAGCTCCGCGGAAACGTCGGCGAGGCCGACCGCCGCGGACAGCAGGAGCGACAGATCGCCAAGATCAATGCCGAGACGGCTGTGCAGAAGACGGACCGAGACATCGAGCGTGCCGCGGCCGAGGCGAACCTAGCTACGCAGAAGACGAACCTCAGCCGAGACGTCGACATCGCCCGCATCCAAGCTACTCGCGCCACGGAGTCGCGTGACGAGGATCTAAAGAAAGACGTCGAGATCAAGCGCGCGGCTGCCGAACTCGAGCGTCTGCGTGCCTCGGACGTCGTCAAAGCGACCATCAGCCGCGAATCAAAGCAGCAGGCGGCCGACGCGCGGGCCTACGAGATCGAGGCGGAGGCGCGCGCACAGTTCGAGCAGGCGAACATGGTGGCCGACGCCAATCTGCAGAAGCAGCTAAAGGAGGCGCAGGGTATCACGGCCATGGCCGAGGCGTACACGAAGCTGGGGCAAGCGTTTGGCGGGCCCGAGGGACTTCTGAAGTACATGATGATCGAGAAGGGCACGTATATCTCGCTTGCCAAGGCCAATGCCTCGGCGGTGCAGGGGATGCAGCCCAAGATCAGCGTGTGGAATACAGGTGCCGTCGAAGCCGGTTCTGGTTCTGGTGGAAATGGTGGTGACAGCGCGGCGACGATGCGCAATGGTGCGTTCTGAAGACATATTTTTGTCGAATTCTCTCTCCACATTTGCCCTGACTAACATTCAACAGTCTACCAACTCCTACCACCCCTGATGTCGACGATCCACGACCAGACAGGCATCACGCTGCCCGAGTGGCAATTCGGCAAGCTCCCGCCCCAAGGCAATGAGGTCGCGCGCACGGATGGTACCAACGGAACGCATCACAGAAAGTAAAGTAAAATCGGGCAGAAAAGCCGAAATTCATTCATTCTAGCAAAATGAAAAAAAAGGGGGGGGAGGGATGAGAATGACACTAAAAACAACAAGACTGATAATGTATTTTCCCTTCTCCCGATCTCTTTCGTATGTCGTTTTCTAGTTCTGATTCTGGGTTCTTGTTATTGTTTGTTGCTTCTGTTTCTTCGCGTATACCTTCAATGGGATACCTCTCTTGCATGGGCGGCGTTGGAAAGGGAGGATAGTCCAGGCAAGGAAGATTGAGGATATACCTACTTCGTACTTGACTTGACGCGTTTGGTTATTTTGAATATCCCCATTCTCTGTAGACTTCAATGATGTGTTTTTTCTTCTTTGTTATGTATACTTATTCGTCGCAATCTCTGTGTGATATGTCTATGAAGGTGATCTGTTACGCGATGGGGAATCTCTTATTTCCTGAATGGGCAAACTACCGTATTCTGACTAGATAGCTTCCCCAGTACCTATGCCTGATAGAGTTCAGTAATAATGGGAGCCCTTATTCAGCCCAACTGCTGTAAGAACGAGGCAAAAACCATATATACGCCATGTTATTAAAGCCATCAGTACAAGTTTTAGGGTCGTATTGATCTATCTCAGCTACTTGTAGATTTTGGTATCGAAGGCTTGAATAGGTAAGAGCTCGAGGCTGGCGAGCTGGGTAGAGTGGTAGTGGGGCTAGGATAGTGGGGTAGTTTAGGAGGTTTAGCGGGGTGCAGCAGCAAGCTCTCGCTACCTAGGTATTTTCTTTTTTATTTGTTTGTTTATTTTCCGCTTCAATATCACCCGCCAAATCCATTCGCCGTTATTGTTCTCCATTCTCCCACACGATATACCTACTTACCGAGGTATACGTGAACATGCACTCGTTGGTGCAACCCAATGCCTGGGCAGCCCTCAGACTTCCATCCGGCAATCTGCGAGTGCTTCAAGTTACACCGAATACGTACGATGGATTCTTTTCGCCTTCTGCCCTTGTCCATGCCCGGCCAGCATTCGTTGTCGCCTTGCTAACATTCACGTCGCATCAAGGACTATCTCCTTAGGAAAATACGGCTCCTTCCCCACGAACCTGATCATCGAGCGCCCATATCATCTGACCTACGAATTGTTGGACAAGCGTCCTGACGAGGGCTTCAACCGACTCCGCATAGTTCCCCCAGCCGAACTCTACGCCGATATCTTCTCTTCCGACACAAATACCCCGACGTCCGAGGATGCGACCCCGGCACCCGATGCCGAAGGCGCCGACAATGCTCTCCCCACCGACGTCGAATACTCGCTGGTTGACTCCGACTCGGGCGCCGTCGTAGCCATCACCGACCGCGCTGAGATTGCCGCCGAAGCGCGCCAGACACTCACCTTGAAGGAGATCGAGGCGTTAAAGAAGGATGGCACAGACGCCGGGAGAGAATTGATCGCAAAGCTCATGCTATCACACACCGCCATCGACCAGAAAACAGAATACTCTCTCGCGAAGTACAAGCTGCTAAAAACACGCAAGTACATAAGACGCTTTTCAATACTGCCGCTGGACATACCACTGCTGAACCATTGGACACTTGAGGACAAGGACCCTTCCAAAATCTTGGATATGAGGGAAGAAATGGTGGCGCTCGTAGGGTGCTGGGCGAACGTGCACTTTGGCGGGGAGGATCCAAGCAAAGCAGCGCAACCATCGGTCAAGATAAAACCAGAGGAGGGGGAGGAGGAGGAGGAGGAGGCTATGGAGATTGGGGAGGAAGCAGCCGAAATAACAGACACGTCGGTTCCTGGTCGCTGGCTTGTCATAGACGATACAGGTGGATTTCTCGTAGCCGCTATGGCTGAACGGATGGGCATCCTCTACCCACTCGAGGCAGATTCTACGAATACGGAGGACCAGCAGCAGAAGACCAAGCCCAGCCACATAGACTCATTCAGTGGAAACCAGCCGACCTTGAAAGAAGGAGAAGGTGCTACGGAATCCCATGCGAAAAAGAGCGAAAACGTCCAAGAGAAACCCGAGCCCGAAGAAGGGACGAAACCATCCTCACCACAGACAACACGCAAGCGTCCGCGCAGAGAAGACACAATCCCCTACGCCCACGCCAACACGATAACACACATCCACGCCAACGCGCAGCCGAACCTCAGCTTTCTGCGGTACTACGGCTTCGACATGATCAACCCGTTCCACACGCCTTCTCACCCATTAGCTTCGCACCTAACAGCGCTGTCTTGGCTCCAGCTCCTCGAGCCCTCTCTCGACGCAGTCTACAGTTCCCCCGAGCCTAGCGCAACGCCAGAGGAGATTTACAGCTGGAAGACGAATCGACGAAGCACATTCCACCGGAAACGTAAGCGATGGCTACGAACGCGCCATATCATCGATTCGACTCGTAAGGGAGGGTTCACAGGGCTTGTGGTAGCCAGCACCATGGACCCCATCAGCATAATGCGAGCCTGCGTGCCATTACTCGCCGGCGGTGCTCTAATCGCCATCTATTCACCCACGATCGAACCCTTAACCGAGTTGGCAGACTGCTACTCCCTTGGCCGACGCGCAGCATGGGCCTCAAACCCACCCCCCTCCCTCCTCTCCAAACCCACGTCCGAACAAGAGAATTTCCCCGGCAACGAAGACTTCCCCTTAAATCCCTCTCTTATCCTCGGGGCCTCTATCCAAACAAGTCGAGTACGGAAATGGCAAGTTCTACCCGGAAGGACGCATCCCGTCATGACGAGTCGGGGCGGTGCAGAGGGCTATGTGTTTACGGCGACGAGGGTTGTGCCTGCGGAGGGCAAGGTTGAGGCTAGAGGGAATATTAGGAGCAGGAAGAGTAGGAAGGTTGAATCTGAAGGGCAGGATAAGGGTGAGAGTGAGGGGGCAGAGTGAGGGCCAGAGCCGAAATATACGTACATACCCAGGGGGGAGTGAAAGTGAGTCACTATGTACGTACCTACCTATTACTAGCTGTATAAAGAGGACTATATATATATACCCTTATATCATATTCATATAGTTACATGACAGAAGAAAAAAAAAGAAAAAGAAAAAAAGGTCTCGGTGTGAGTGGGTGTGTGTGTGTGCGGACACGACAGCTAAATGTAGAATTCTGCGCTTACGTGTTTAATGATTGTGTTGTTTCAAGGGAATACTTACGGAAGTAAGGTTGGTTGGTTGGGCATTTTCTTACCAATAATCAAGAAAGGGAGTGAGTGAGTGAGTAGGTACCTAGGTGAGTGAGTGTAGCAAGAAGGTGAATATGGTGAATAAGTGGGTGAGTGTGTAAGTGCCTCAGTAAAGGAATGCGCATTGGAGAGAATGAATTTCTTAGACTAGGCATACCTAAGTATACATATATGAGCTATCTACCGAAATAGGCAGGGAGGTAGGTAGGTAGGCAGGCAAGGAAGCTGGCAGATAGGGACGCAGCGAGACAAGGATACCCCCTATTAGACAGAAGGAATGGGACCTTTTGTTTTCTCTTATTTATATTCAATGGCTTTCACTCATTGCTCCTCATAAGCATCAACGCGGAAAAGGGGGAGAGGGACGATAAGGGCCGAATCAGCTAGGTACTTAATTCCCTATAATTCTCATATTTAGTTTCTCTTATCCCACCTCGCGATCCTTCTCCCACTCTACCACCAAAACTTCCCGCAACCCCGGTTTACAGCGCCTTCCCCATGAACTTCCTCTTCGTAAAGCTCAGCCACCATTTACTCGGCTTCCCATCCCCTCCATCCTCGTATACTCTCGCGAGTAACCTTGCGGCAAGCTCCTGTCGTAATTGGGATAGGTACTGCCGTAGCTGTTCTGCGTCTTGGCGGTCTTGTGGAGGTTCGTACATCTGGGGAGTAAATCAGTTAGAAATAAAAGAAAAGGAAATAGGGATGGATTCGTTATATCCTCTATGAAGTTGATTCAATTTGGCGTTTACCAACATAAGTAAAAGCTACGAAGGACAAGGAGAGGAGGAAGAAGTTATGACAACATACCTGATTCAAAGGAAAGCCCGGATCCCCAGGTATAGAGAAATTGATATCAAGCGCGGTATTCATGACCTCCTTGGTAGCATCGCGCACACCATGTGTAGGGCGGATTTTCCCCAGACACTCGCTCACGAACAGGATGCCGTAGATGAGCAGGCGGTCGGCGGGGCCCTGGATCTCGAAGTTGCGGAAGAAGGTGTTGGCGCGGAACAAGGAGAGCACTTCGTCGAGGATGTCATATGACTCTGAATCCGGGTCGGGGGATTCATTGGCGGGGAGGGGCGGGTTCGGTGCGGGCAGGACGTAGGCGGGCCCGCGGGTCTTGGTGCGTAGTGGGAGGAGGGGCACGTTGCCGATGAGGCGCGGGATGGTAGGGTCCTCGTTGAACATGGAGTTGTAGGCCTAGGATGGGGTGTAAGCGGATCATCTTGTGGGCAGCGGAGATTCGTCGTGCTGGATGCTGGGCCCACGATACCGTCCTCTCGCGACACAAAAAGATAGGTTGGGGTTTGGGAATGGGTCACGGGGTGTCAATTGTTGGTGGATTAATCTCTCCAGGGTGCTCATAGCAAGCGGCTCATAACACACGGCCTGGCTGGCGTTTACCGAGGCGCATTCGTGGAGGGGAGGGACCATGTACATACCGGCATTTTGTCAACGGTCCACGGCAGACAGCCGGTTCTGCTCGGGGGTGGTGAGGTTGTATTGATATATGGGAACCCGGTTTCAAGCTCGGCGGATGAAGTGGAGGGGCTCTGGACCGGGACAAGGCTGGTGGTTTATTAAATGAAGGCTGACGTCGGAGGAGCTACTTGATTGATACCTTAGCTCATTTCATGTAGAGACAATGATGGGGACGTCACTTTGGGCGGATAAATGCCGGGTTAGCTGTCACCGTGTTAGGTAAGCTGATAGATACTTGACCCAGATACAGTGCGAGAAATGAAAATTGTCCACACGGTATATTGACACAATACTTACATACATAAGTACGTACTACTAAGTACGTAGTAGTATGTACAGTAGAGGGATGCTGTTGCCTTGCGTCATTCTCCACTAGCGCTATTCCCGATCGGTACCCATCTATTGATGTGTCAGATTTAGTGGCTAAGTCACTGAGGTCGCCAGATGCCGCGTTTTCAGTGGCCAAGTGGTGTGGTCTCTGTGTGGTGGAAAGTGGCGCGAGAGCGGCAAAGGGGGTTTGATGTGGCACAGCATGTGTGGCACTCTAGCCACAACACACTTCCAACTGGCATAAGTAAGTACATCTGCGCTAAGACACTGGTACTTGTGCAGATACATACCTATGTAGTCTACCGGGATCCCTGTCTCACTCATCGGGCAGATCGGGCCTAGCACAGAACTGGAACGCCCATCTCTGCCCATCTCATTGATGTCCATCTCATTGGTTCCGGTGGGTGGTCTGTGTTGTATTGGTTTGGCCTGTCTGGCAGGAAGGGGGGGCAGAGGGGGGGAAGGTCTGGGTCCGGGTCCGTCCGTATCTGTGCTAGCCTGCCAGGTCACCTGCTCACGCGTCCCTCTCTCTCCCTTGCCAGAAGCCAGCGCCCATTAAAAGCATTTCCCCCCGCGTCTCGTCTCGTCTTCTCTTTTCCGCCCCCCCATCTAACCCACGCTCTAACCCACGTCCACCACTCTCGTGTGTCATTTTGCTGCCCACAGAAAACAACCCGTCTCAACTCGCGTCGCATAACATTCCCACTCTCGTTTGGACGGCTTTGCGGCTACACACATTCTTATTCAAGTTCCTCCTTTCTGCCGCCTTTTCACCGCCATCAGTCTATTTCCCAAGGGTCGTGAAGCCTTGAAAGAACATCCCTGCATGCAAGTGTTGGCCTTGCACGCACTATCTACCTAGTCTATCCCCTGTCCGAGTCAGTCCTTGCGCTGCGCGCGGGCTCGTATACCTACCTAGGTAGTCATCCATTACACTCATCCCCTACGCAAAATCAGAATATGTTACCGTACACCGCCATGAACATATTAGGTGCTCGTGCACGCGTCGCTGAAGATGACGGCGTGCTCGGCCCGGCAAATACCACCAAGATGAAGACAAAGCGCCGCCGTTGCACGCCCACGGCCCCACAGCCCGGCTCTCTTTACGACATCCTACACGACAATGCCGGTGTCTCGCTATTCGTGCGCCCGCTCTCCTGGACCGACCTCCACACCAAGCTGCTCGGCTGTCGCTTCGTACAGCTCCCTGCCTTTGACGCACCAACCCCTCCTTCATCTCTACCTTTGCCTTCGTCATCCCCTTCATCAACACCGCCATTGCCGCCCGCATGGTCATCTTTCAATCCCGCGCCTAAAAAGTCCATCAACATCCCCAAGATCATAGATTGGCTCATGTCCCCTAACAAGCATGAAGAGTCCAAGAATCGCGCCATGGCCGCCATGCTTGCCGACTTCTACCCCCAAGCCTTCACGTATCCCCAAGACCACTTCGACCTCGATCTGAGATTCGGCAACCGCCGCTACGATCGCCTCGTTCGTGTTCAGCTACTATTCAACCACATCTATCCATCCTTGATGTCGTTTGATTCTTCCACCACCATCTGCAGCGCCTCACATTCCCAAACCGTGAGCATTTCTAATGAGCCGTCTGTCCTGGCCTACGTGAGCCGCAGTCGCCTCAGCCACATCAGAAACTCCTGCTACAACGTCCATCCCGGACCCCCAGGAATCTTCAATGGCCCCGTTCGTCGGTTGCAAGCTCTCCGCTCCAAGTCCCTCATGCCCAAGAACCTGGATGAAGATCCTTATTTTATCTCCGTCATGCTGGCCTTGGCTCAACAATCCGTCTACCCCAATCTCAGGACCAACCACGGATTCGTCGCTCGAGATGTCAAGGTCCATCTATTGACGGTTGCCGAAGAGGAGGCAGCTTTCATAGTCTACACGGCAACGGTGCCCGCAGCCCTCCTTTCCATGTTCCATGAGCCTGATGTCGCGCCTACTGGTAACTCGAGCCTTCAAGTCGAGTATGCTCGAATTCCCGCTTGGCCGATAGAGGACCTCAAAGAGCGCCTAGGCAAGGCTCTCGGCTCAGATATTGTGGGTGATTTGAGCGATGCTCCCATGTACACTCACGAGGACACTTATGAAGACGAGGCCGAAGCCTTCCCACCATCCATCACAAAGTCATTTTACTATCCGTCCGCGCCGAAGCGCAAACGGGGGGTCTTCTCTGAGGTCATGAATACCAGCTTCTATGAAGACCACGAGTCCGATGCCCCCAGAAAGGTCAAAGCCAAAAAGCGGCGTAGAATTGAGAAGAAAACTCGGGAACTCGGCATTGTTCGGACATTGTTTAGCACAAAAGGGCCATCATGAATGGCCTAGGCGTTTTGTGATGAGAGATGCGGGTTTGGCAGGTTGCATGTTTCGGTGCACGCACGAGATTACGAGGGTTTGATATGGCGGGATACAGGAGTTGGGCTCCTTGGCGTTCACAGGTTGCCACACATTAGAGAGCAAGGTTTTGCGCTCGGGCTGGCTGGATGGGTATGTTCACTTGTTTGGCGGCGGTATGGCTCATTGCACACAAATTCTACAAGTTGGCCTTGATCATCAATTGCATTCAGATGGCAAAACACACGGACGGATACCAAAGGGCACACAGGGGGGCGTTTTCTTTTTATTGATTTTGCAGAGAATTCTACCGACTCGCAAGAGTCAATGTGCATTTATCATTCTTCCACGTAGCTTCTACTCAGGGATTTCATGCAATGAAAGAAGGCTGCGATTACGCTTTTGATCACATTCCTTACTCTACCGCTGTTCTGTCGCTCTTCTGCCGCTGTTCCTTTTTGCGGTGACTAACTGACTGACTGAACCCCATTTCTCGCCGTGCCGACTTCCTAACTTGGTAATTGAGCGCGCAGGGCGAGTCTCCGATTGGACCATTTTAGCCTCTTTGGGCCGCCTCTGTATTAACCCAGCTGAATAAGCAGTGTTCACATATAAGCCGGTATAGGTAGCTAGGTGTAATCACGTCATCAGTGATTAGCACGTTTCTGCAAGTCGACTACATTCATAGACTACTTACAAACTTCAACAGGCTGCTTTATGACTTCATCGCGATATATATATTACCTATTGAAGCGTCCACCCCGCCGGAATTAAACATTTGCCCACTTCCAAGGTTTCCCAGCATGTCCCAGGTACGCCGCCCTTGTTACGACGAATCCCCAAACACCCACAAACAGGGCCAGACCACAAAACACCTTGAGCCACACATACGAATCTCTCTCGTCTCTTCCCCCCGCAGCCGCCAACGCGCCCGCAATAGGCTGGTTGATGAGCACCGACGGGGCGATGGCGATATACACAGCACCCAGGTATGCCCCTAACTTGTTCATGTTGGGACATATCTGGGCCACGAGCGTCGGCACCATGGCGATGAAGGTGCCGGAGCCGAAGCCGTACAGCGCTGTGAAGCCGACGCGTCCGGATTCCCAGGGCGCACCTATCCAGACGCCTAGAACGAGTATGACTGAAAACAGCGCGAATGCGATGGTAGTGTTGAAGCGCCCGTAGCGATCACCCAGCCACCCAGGCATGACGCGGCCCACGGTACTATTTGATAAAATCAGTCCTGATGACAATCCCTCATCGTGACACCAAAATCGTGGATATACCAGGGGACGTACCTCGTAGCACTCAAGATAACGAGCAAATTGTTAGCTGATTGTTGCGTAGCACCAGCGTCTCGTGCCTCGACCACGACATAATCATACGGTATGAAGAATCCCAGGTTGAAAAAGAAGCACGCGAAAGCAAGCGCCAAAACAGGGCCAGATTTCAAAAGCGAGACCGGTAGAAGCTGGGATACACGCAAAGGAGGTGGTGCGGTGCCGGCGCCCATCTGCGGTCTGCGCGAGATAGTAGCGATAGCCACTCCCATCAAGACAAAATACGTCAACGCAACAGCACGAATAGTCCAGGAGAACCCAATTTTTTCAAACAAGATGGGGATAGTAGCTGTCCCTATGACCGCGCCGACAGCACTCCCAGAGCTAACGAGACCCAGCGCCAGGCCACGTCTCGCATGGAACCAGGTTCCCACAGCCGTCGCCCCCGCGACGAAGATAGCCCCCGTGCCAGCGGCGCTCACGACGCTTTGGGTGACGAAGATCTGGGTATACGTCTTTGAGTTCGCGAGACCCAGTAAGCCGCCGACATGGAGCACCGTGCCGACGATGAGAAGCACCGTAGGGCCGAGATAGTCAAAGAGGGCGCCGAAGACGCATACGCCGAGGAAGAGGAAGGCGGTCTCGACGGAAGGGATCCAGCCGATGGCGCTCGCGGTGTAGGCGTGTAGTTGGTGTGTGGAGTAGTATGCCTGGAAGACACCGATGGAGGTCGCCCAGCCAAAGGATGCGAAAGAACAAGTGAATCCGCCGACGACGGTGAGCCAGCCGCGTGGGGATGTGTCCAGGGGAGGAATATCGGTGCTGGGTGCGGTTTCTGGATCACAGGTGATGCTGATATCGGCGCTAGTAGCCACGCTAGAAAGCGATGACTCAGTCTTGGTGGGCATATCTGCTTTCAAACACGTTGAGGATTCCATATTATCTCCTAAGAAAGAGTAAACAGTAACTGGGATCTAGACCGTAGGTAAGGAAGTGATATATGGTGCTTGTTGTGAGAATTGTAAGTCCCGAGCACAATACCATTTCTCAACTTTCTCGAATAAAAGGAAGTTAGCGAGTTCTATAAGACAAGCTGAAATTATCTGGATAGGCACGGAAGTCCGAGTCCAAAAGAGAGGAGGATATGAAGCCACCATGATGATGATCATCCTTGTGAGGCCAGGGGCTGGCTTCCATGGTATAGTTTTGAGAAGACAAGACACAGTGTCTGTATGTTCTATCGTGGCGACCATCATGTCACTTTTTTCTATATCCTGTCTGCGTATTGGATTGATCATAGTGTTTTCAATGCCATTCCATCAATGGTAACCTTACATCACGGTACAAGAAGGCTTATGAATGTACCTGCATCTTTTCTGGTACTACTTCCGAGAAGCACTTCAAGATTTGGCCTCTTGAGGCGTCACTGCATAGGCACACCGATGCTTATCAATATCAGCTATTGATTGATCGGCGTTGTAGTCGACCCTGGGCTCTGTATTTTCATTCGTTCAAGGAGATTTATGATCTCGTATATGGCTTACCACGTGGTGACGTAAGGCAGCGCCGCAGTCATAGGTTCGCAATCGTGGCATAGATAAGACTTTATACGAGAACTCTGTAACTGAACATACCTTTGGGCGCAATTGGTTTCACAAAATTCTCAGCCGGCATTTTGGCAGCTTAATCCCTCCGCGGCGGCAGCAACAATCATATGATATCAACTTGAGCCGTTATATGCACAAGATAAGTGCCGTATAATATGAGCCAAGGCCGTTGAGAGAACCAACAAGCATACCCCTGCGAAGGCTTCATTACTTGTAAATGGTTGTTTTATGATTCGTAGTCTCAAATGCGGGTGTTTTTTCTGACGTCTTTTTAGAAAGCGTTGCGAAAGTACAGTTAGTTAGCGAGCTGGTACCCTCGTTTCATCCGGATTACAGTATCCATTCAAACCTATATTACTCAGCATTAAACCAGGACCTCAACGTTGTTAGTGCATCACACTTTAGCCGTCCGAGGGGTAACCCGTGCACCACACGGCTGGAGGTGGTGCGCCATTAAGGTTCTCTGTATGAATCGAAGAATGTGATGCGATCTCGCTTCGGTAGTTACGTGGCTACTTTATAAGTTTCCGAGGACAAGTTCGCGCTGGACTCGCTGCGGCCATATTATGCGGGCTTGGTCGTTGTAGTTTTCGATGTGCATGATTGGCCAGATTTTCTCCTTCACGACCTTGATGAGATGTGACTTCACAACCAGGTGTTTATTGATGACGACATGGCTTTTCAATGCCGTCAGCCTCCTGGCCAGCTCGTGTCAAGATGAGAAAGAATGCAATTATCCGTCTTAGATTGGTCCGTCGGGATCTGGGCAACTCCCACTTGCTATGGTGAAGCGAGTGCAGAACAGCGTTGATGTTTATGTTATGAACACCAAGAAATGTCGAGCAGGCTTGTAAACGTCGATTTTTGAATGCGCAAAGTGCTCCTATATTGTAACCTTCAATACAAGACTGGAAAAAAATAAGTGACGGAAAGCGAACACTATATATTCAAGATGATATATGGTATGCCAGTAGTATCCCTAACCATGTCTCACTGAGACGAGTGCCACTGACTCATGGGGCCTGACAATTCCGAGCCAACCAACGCAGTGTAAATTCTGTAGACACAACAAATATCGCGTCGCCATGCCATCCTTTACCTTGGGCGGATGTTTGAAATATATATTATTGCAGCATTCCTCATTAAATCACTCATAAATTTGAATTATTGAAAAGGGATATCATTTGCGATATTCCATAGTTAAGGCTTCGATAAGCTTCGTCCTTGGACACAGTCGCTACGTGGCTAAGCGAATCCTGGCGGGTCCTCAAGATGTATATACTATTCAAGAATTTTCAGCGGTGATCGGTCGGTGGGACTAACTGAGCGGCCATATTCCAATGACCTTAAAAGGACATTAGAGTGTAAAGCATTGGGACCTTTATTATTGGCGTGCCTCGCCGTTCCGAAGAATCGTGTTATTGATTTTGAAACTTTGTACTTTTGGCGCAGAGATCATCTCGACAAGGACGACGTGTTCTACCCCGACTTTCTTCCAATTCTGGTCTTTCACGGCGCTGGGTCAGGTGATGTCAAGCTTACAGACCATGTTCAACGACTACTCGTTGACTGAGGCACAGAAGAAGCGGTAATATGCAAAACTGGGATCGACATCACTAACGGTCCGTATTTATTCGATTCTAGAAATTTATACTCAGCTTTGAAGATATACGAAGATCGCCAACTTGCATTCTCACAGGCCATATGGCCTACCGCTGAAGGTGAACAGTAAGGGCACCTTTGTCCATCTAGCTAACTCCCACGATGATGCATCTCGCGTGCAGTGCATGCTTTATCCCACTGACTTTGTCCCGTCTGGCTCGCAAGAGCAAATGGACGCTATGGTAGATTTTCTCGATGACCTAGGCAACTCCATGGGGGCTGGTACTATTCCGCCAATCGATATTTTGAACCATTCAGACAGGATTCCGAAGAAATACACGGAAAGCCCCCATTCATAACCGAAGTTGTGAGACAGTACTTGTCAGTAAAAAAGCCGTTTCACATTGTATTATATCCTCAAATCTCACTCATCAACCGACATTAACCCTTATAAAGGGAACGGGGTAGCGAAGTACACATGTTTGAGCACAAATATCTGATGTTACGCCTGGGAATCTTCAAAAATTGGTTTATCAAGCAATAAATAGCGGACAGATCAAACATCGTTGCTTTACACATCGACAAGGTGCAAGCCAGATATCGCGACTTTTATCCTAGCAATGTAACCCCAACGTGCCTGGCTTACGGTCTACGTTTCTTTCTGTCATCCTAGGTACACCCGAGTTAGCTCTTCGCGCCTTTTCATTGCCTCTTTCATCTTCTTCGTATCCCTGTACTATGCTTCCTATCATTCAGAAAGTATTGGTACTGATACTACGAGTTCAAGGTCTCTCATATGCCGTATGTGTCTCACATCATTGAGTCCCTATAGTTGTTTCATTGATGGGTGCCCCAGGGGCTGACCTTCAACTCCTCCAATGGACACTAGAGACACTTCAGAAAAGTGGCCGGCCAACGAAGGTTAAAAAGGGCAAAGTCATGTTTTGATAAGACATGACGTCTGAAATGGTTGGAAACAGGAAAATCAGTCAAAATCTAAGTTTGTGTTCTGAAGTAGAGTGTTATCCTGAAGTAGCTCCTTGTTGTCGGCGCTAAATGAGCCCATCAGGTCTTGAAGTACAGAGAACGCAGTAACGCCTATTGACTTATATAGACCAGAATTTCCACCAGGGCTGCACTTGACAACCCATCCAAATACTAGGATGGCCTTGCAAGGTATGGAATTGTCACGGATCAAAACCTCATGAGTAGAGAAGAAGGGTGGAAAAATACGAAAGGCAGCGGAGCAGAGAGTTATTGCCATCGTTTACTCGGATCTTAGTAGTCAACGCGTAAGACGTATAGAAAAGTGAGATCTGGACGAAACTCAGAGAAGCACACCTGATAGATAGTCCTCCTACACTGATTTTGGCAGACTTGGAAGCAGTCACATCGAGACCATGCTGTGATGTTCTCATAAGTTGCTACCCAGTTTCCCCAGTGCCAATAGAAATGACTTCTGAATCACTGTCAAACTCTACCCTGTCGATAGCCACAAGTCCAATGTGATGCCGCCTCGATGTCCCCACAACTTGAGAGGGACTTTTAGCCAGCACAATGGACTGGAAAGCCTACTTGGCGTTGTGACAAAAGGATTGGTTGTTCTCAAGAAGATGGAAACACCCTCAGCAGTTTCCAACATGCCAGATCTAAACCGGAAGCACCTGCCACAGTCATGAATGCGGGGATTATCTTGTTACAGAACGTACAACGCTGATGTGACTGCGCCATCGTGAGAGCACCCTAGAAGGGCGAAAATTGAGTATGATAAAGTGAATGAGTGACTCGCACAGAATGAACATGATCCGCCGCGAACTTCCTGCTGTTGTGTCTAATCGAGCCGAGGGCAGAAAGCTACGCAAACGTACCTTTAGTTTACTGTAATCAGGTAGATGTACGAAAGCTTGACTCCCTCTAGTAAAGGGAGAAGCCCCAGGAATAAAAGAGGATTGAGACATAATTCGTTATTCTGCTTGTCTATGGCCTGACTGTGACTGCTCACCCATGGCCTGATTTCTCAGGCGACAACTTCCAATGAGTCTATCAAAGTACACAGCATTCATCTTTGCTCGTAGCAGTAGTATCACAGCAGCGTGATTTGTCGACACTGTAGCACTGGTGCTGAGAACCAGGTTTGCATTCAAGTCAGACAACGCAATCAAAAGTTACGCATCAGAATCACATGAGTATACTTGCATAGGCAGTATTATTTGATTTGGTAAAATTCTGAGTGTGTCCACTGTATGTGCGTCTAGGCTGAGCTTATGAGCTAGGAAAATCTATGTTCAACGAGGAAAGGAACTTGTTAGTATGTGAGAGGCCATAATTGTCAACAATGACAATCTGAGTAGAATCCTATTCTACCAATGCACAGATACCTGATATAGACACCACAAACTTTCAGCGATGAATGAAACCTTCCGAGCAAAAATGGCATGACAAATTCGCTAAAGAGATGGACCTCCTATCCTTGTTTGCTTGCCACGAAGTTCAAACCTAACACAAGACTCCCTAGTCGTTCCTGTTCTGGGATTGATGTACGTGCACAAAGATAGTGAATCGAGCAATACGGTATCCGGAATGAGTGTTCATCTCGATATCAAGGTAGGACCTTCGGGGTAGCCGAAGCTTGCACAAATATCCCATTACTTCTCCAGCCACACAGCCATCTTGAACCTAGAGTTGTCGGCCCATAAGGATCACGATCCAGAATCACACACAACCGTGTTGCCTCTCATGATCAAATTAAAATACCGCCGTCGGGGTGATCACAGCTCTTGCCTAATTATCGTTAAACGCAAAAGGCTGTGCTACAGATACGTATAAGTACACCATCTGATCACCTAGTCGTCTGGTCATTTGGCACTCTGCCTCTCTCGAGCGAATGCGTAATGAGCTCATCTTGTATCACTGAGTACTCGTGTTTCGTCAGATCACTCCACCTTATAGAATCGCTGCAGGATTGCCAGGAATTCTGAACCATTCTTGAGCATAAAGACTCCGAGCCCTCTATCCGCCTATCCTGAAAAATATCAATTCATCTTCTACACCGTCAACAAATTTTTAGTTCGAAAACATGGCTAGAGTCGTAATCAGGCCGTTGACTTATATCCTGCTCATTCCCCCTATTGTATGGTCATTCTTGATCCTCATCAATAAGACCAACACACCTGCTCCCCAGTATGAACCCCCTTTTCTATTGAAAGTATGAGATGCTGGAGCTAACGCTTTGAAGAAATACGTCACAAACCCAGCAACAATGGAATTGACGTACAGGGACCTATTCTTGAGGTGTCTGAACGATGCTGAGCGGTGGTGTAAGTACTATCATAATATCTTCACTCCTATCGCTGCCACGAAAAACACCCCAATCTCGTATTTCTAGGATTTATGTGTTAACCAGCTTTAACACGTGCCTGAGATCCCCAAATCATGACAGAGTACTAATAACGGAGGTTAAAGATAGGAGGAAGAGTAACCCTCGGAAGGAGATAGAGGATGCCATCATAGGGATCAGGGAGGGCATCTTCGGCACCCTGCCATACAAGGTGTCCCCCCCTCTGGAGAAGTATGCGGATGAGGTGAAGGGTATAATCGAGGCATATTCGGGCCATTGCACAGGCGAAATTGTGTACCTAGTTTTCGATAATAGAGATGGCAAAGCCCGCTGGACCAACAGCGACCGCTCCGGCAGACTGCCAGCATTCTGTGGGTTCTTCCAGTGGGAGTTGCCCAGGCTGTACAATCTCCTGTGCCTCTCCCGCAGGGAAAGGATCGAGCAGGCTGGAGAAGCTGGAGTATCCGAGCTTGTACTCATGCAGATCAACGACGAGGAAATATCAATTCCGATATTTCCTGACACCGACTATGTCTACATGGCAGGCTTCATCGATTCCATGCTACATGTGCATGGGAAAAAGACACTGAAACCCTCAGGCAATGGCTACAGACTAAGGCCCGGCCCCATGCCCAAGGGAATCTCACAGTGTTTCCACCAGTTCCGTCGCCCCCTCTTCGCCTTCAGTGACCTCTACAAAGGTCTTCTACACATCGACGGTCGTGGTCCCAATGCAGGAACTCCCCGCGTAGGCCTCCGTAGCTCGCCACATTGGGAGAACATGGCCATGGAGTTGTTCGACGAGCTCACCAGTAACAGGTCTGTACATGAGGAGTATACCATTGCGGTCGGTCCTTGGAAGTTGGGTGGGGTCCCCGAGGATTTGATCCCGATCGATGTCGACGCCATGGAGTTCGACCAGTCTAACCCACACAGCCTCGAGAGTCGGATGGTCTACGTCAAATCAGAGCTGGAGTACCTCAGAGACCGCATGCACGGTTTTATGTGGACGTGGCTCGATCATGTCAGAGACTATGACATATCGGGCCCAAGTGAAGCCATTCGATGGCTGAGCATCCACATCCCGCCCTATGGATCACCAGACGCGCGGGCCAACCAGCGGGAGACTCAGCTAATCCACCCGTGGACAGCCCAGTATTGGCTGGAGACTCACGAGGGGAAGATGTGGCTACAGGAGAAGTGCGACACTTCTTTCTGTTGGTTGAAGACATGGTGGGGGAGACATTGGTTGGAGGAGACGGTTGCTGGCGAAGCGTTCCTGAAGACGCTAGCCGGGGAGCGATGGACGGAGATGTGTGGGAAGGAGGAGATGCCGGAGACTCCCCGGACAAAGGAGTACACTTTCGAGGTTCTTCCCCTGCGGTTGATGAGGAAACCTCCCTTTGGGTGGCAGAGGAATGAATATTTCTCTGAGCATCCGATCCCACCAAGGGCAGTGCGTTTCTTCAAGTTCCCTGAACCTACACCTGAGGTTGTTGAGCTTGAGGAAGCCGATAAACCTCTGAAGAGTGTTGAGCCTGTGGAAAGTGATGAGTTCGAGGAGGCCTCTGTAGCTAGTGAAGCTTCTGAGATCAAGGGGGGCTCAGAGACCGAGGGCGTCTCTGAGAACATTGATTCGAGGAAGCTTCACCGTTCGTTAATTCCTCGGAGGAAGAGTCATTAGGTAGCTAGGCCACGTAAATCTCTCCTTAATACTATACTCAACCAATTTCCCAATCTCGAGTACCTGAGAGTAGCTATGATCCAATCCTCATCATGTGCCCATACTTGGACTCTGACGCGGTACACCTTGCTACAATCGTATCCTAAGCCCAACGATAGTAACATGATACCGCCCAGACCTACTCGTGTCGAAAATAGGAGCAGTCTCTTACTTGGGCGAATCTTCACTCAGACAGTCCTATATACTTACTACCTACCTTGTCTGTTGAAAGTCTGAACCAAGGGAGACTCAGAAGGCGCATGTATCCAGAGAAGGGGTGAATACCCTCACTTTCCCAGGAAATCCGCGCAACAGGAGAAGCGTGACTACACTCTCATACCGCAATGCTCAAGACTATTCACGAGAGGAAGGTGGGCTAAGCCTCACGCGCTCTGCCCCGCCGTCATACTCAAAAATCAGAGCATACGGCGATCGATTCTGAGCTCAACCCTAAGACAAGCCGGGTATCGGCACGCGACACGGTACTTACAAGACTCGCGAATGACCACCATGCCAGGAATTCCCTCGTGGTATCTTAAAAAGCCAACGTGTATGTAGCAGGCTCATCACACCGCTTGGTGCTCAGTTCACGACCGCCGAAGAGAAACCGTGATAGACACGGCACCTCGCAAACAACCACCCAAATCACCATGCCGAAATTTCCTCGTGATATCTACAAGACCACACACACCACCAGGTGTCAGTTCCATCGCACAGGCGCTCTCACAGAAATTCTAGGCAGACAACAAAGCAAGTACCTATACATCTCCATCTAGCCTTCTCTCCATTGGATCCCTTTTCGCCGACAACATCATTTTGCTAATCACACCACACCGCAAGAGACCGACACGACACTACCCTACGTGCTGCCTATGCTCGCTCACGAAAACGCTCGTTGCGCAACGGTAAGAGTCACGCAAAGGGGGGGCTAGGTGGTATGAAGGGAGAGACTCAACCAGCCGCGTGATTGCTAGGAGTCTGTGTCTCCTCCAGGCAGACAGACAGACAGACAGAATGGCACCACTTCCTGAACACAGTTACCGGTTTCTCTTCGGCGACCGCCCCATGAAATGAGCACTTGTGTGATGAAACTGGCCATAAACAGTTTTCACGAGGGATTTTTTCTTCGGTAAGGCATTTGTTTGCGAAGTCTCTCCAAGTGCCGTGTGTCTATCTTGGCCTTGTCTACCCGGCTTATCTGTACTGGTGTTGCTGTGCATCCCGAGCTGTCTCTCTGGCGGCTGGTCCCCCTCTGATCGATCGCCCAAACCACTTCCAAACTTGGAACTTCCTCCGTACAGTATGTGATGTATTTTCTGTCCTTCGAAGACGGATGTAGTGGAACACTCATTTTCGTCAGTCCATTTTCTCGTGTATGAGTCTGCCTGTCTGTCTCTCTGTACGTGTACGCGCTTGCGTGCCGGTACAAAGATAGGCAACTGAATACGAGCACGTCTTTCCCAACAAACATTCTCTGCTACCAGCGTCTAACCGCTTGTGTCATGCCATGGCCTTTCCAGAGCATGCGTGCCTTTAAAGTTACTCAAGGGGAGAGTCCCCTCATTTCTGATAAGGTCTCGGTATCTTCATAAAAGAGGATAGCATAGCAACGCAGTCTCAGATTTAGGTGTACCGATCTAAATGTATTCATCGGTTAACAGCTTATCTTATCTATCAAGGAATGACTCGTTTCTAGTATTTTTCCATGTTCAAACATCTGGTATCACCCAGCAAAGAGTTAGAGGGAATCAACCCCCCAACTTGGAGGATTGGGCCGTAGCGACCACGAGCACTGAAATGCTAGGCCCACGGAAGTATGAGTTGGCATCTTATGTAAGTAGAGGTCACTCTGGGTAGATAGAGCTTGCCGCGTCGCAGAACCCCTAAGGAGGTCAAAGATACGGAGGTATCACCCCTTGCTTCGTTGAACTTCATAATTCGTAATGAGGATATTTCACCCTCTAAAAAGTCGCAAAACAAAATCTCTTCTAACCCACTGTGAAACCCGCACTAACATCAGCATAGCAGTAAATCTCTTCTCCTCTCTATAAAAGTGAGTACCTATCTGTAGTAGACACAAAAGATTCTATCTATCAGCCAAGTAGCAAGCCAATCTATGGTCCAGTCCAGTCCGTTCCACCACCATGAGTACTGACTGGCTTCAAAAACCCAGCAGCACAGGCGAGCAGATGAAGGACAAGAGAAATGCGAAAAAAAAGGAAGCAGGGGCGAACTGAAAAAAAAAAGGATAGAGGGAACGGTGTATTGGGGTATCACTCTACAAACACCAACCAACAAACCCATGGGAAAATAATACGAAGTACGCCAGGCTTTGCTTTGCTTTGCTTTCAGAGGGAGAGAAAAAGTAAAAATGAAGCCACTATTATCCTCTTGTATAGCTGTCCACGACAGAGGTAGATGAATGAATGAATGAATGAGACACACACAGATTTTTTTTCACGTCATCATCCAAGTCCAAACTGTGTCTCCTGATCATGGCAAGGGAGCAGTAGTTGTGGAACCCGCATCCACGTCCACGTCCGTCATGCCTTCAATGTCAGCCAGGTTGGCAACACTGCCGTTTTCGCCACCGCTTAAATGTATCACACTAGGTAATGTCGGGCTGGATATCGCCGAGGCGCTGGTTTCGGTGACGAGAGCCGGCGCAGATGTCGACTTGTGTGTACGTTGCAGTAGCGCTGCTTGTTCTTCACGTTCCTTCATGAGTTGTTTCTCGGCTTCGATCGCCTTGTTCCTCCTATCTTCAACTTCTTCCCTTCGTACTACTCTACGTAAACCTTCGGAAGCTTGAATCAGACCGTCAATGCTGATTGCATGATTAGTCATTTGGTGGTTGATGTACGTGTAGATGGCGGCAGGGGTGTCGCATTGCAGTAGACGCTGCTCATTGAGCTTCAAGAGCGCCAAAGCAACTTGGAAGAGAAACGTAGAGCCATCACTGATGCATAACACGACGTCCCAGACGCGGAAGAGAGCCTCGGCAGACAGACAATCCGTAAAGACGCTGAGGAACCACTGGAATGTCAAAGCCTCAAGTTCAATGCTGAGTGCCTCTAGATGCTGCGAGAGTTTTGGGAGCACCGCCGTGACGTAATGGCGTAGAACGACTTGATCCGCACGGGATGCTATCAAGCTGTGATCGTAATAGCCGTGAGGTAGAATCAGCTCGATAATTGAAACCAGCACCCAGAAAGCATCTTCTGTGGACGGCATGATGAGCAGTAGGTTGCCCGTGATGAGATTCATACCCTGGCAGTATCCAACTTCTGGGTTTCGCCGAGCATACGCTTTCAACACCTCGCGGAGTTTGGCGACCCCTGGGCCTCGGCGGAAGAATATGTTGTCCGTCAACGTCCTATGGACATCCATGCCGATTTGCGTAATCACACTTGGGTCATCCTCAGCATCAGACCTGGAGACAAGGTCTTCATAATATCCTGGAATGCGTATCGACAGAGCTCCGGAACACTCCGCCCATACTTTGGGACGATTTGCAACCGGAATGCCACCAAGCACAAGAGATCGAAACTCGTGCCATTTTGCTCGGCCTACTTTGCCTTTGACCCCTAAATCGGCGATACCGATTGTTTCTCCATCTGTGAGCTTCGCTTCGGGAATCATGACGGGCGGCTTCTGAAAGCGCGCTTCCGCGGCTGCGGAGGCTGCAGCTGCAGCTGCCTCACTCTCTCTTCTACGCTCTGCTCTGACTTTACGCAGGAATTCATTCCATCGAACGGATTTCTCTCTCTGCAATGCGTCGTGGACGTCGCTCAGCTGTCTTAACAGCAGCTTGACCGGCTCAGTATCTTCGTGAACTAATGTTGCAGAAGCCTCCTCACTCTGTGGAGTGCTCGAGTTGTTATTCAAAGCGGCGGTGGTGCTGGCTGACGGGACAAAACCACGGTCATTAGTCGTGATCAAACCGGGCGACTTTGGCGGGTCGCTACCTTCAAGTACTTCGAAACTAGAAGTGGCGACGGGAGTATGAGCTAGAAGCTCGGTCTGAACAGTAGCAATCTTGAGATAGTCTTGCCATCTTTTCGGTCTCCCTTGCTCTACCACATCCTCTGTAGAGTTGGGCGAACCTGGGCGATCCTCACTACCACTTCCGCGAAGGGAGCCAGTGCCGTCCTCAACGGAGCTCGGGGATATACCAGATCTTCCGCCTGTTAACATTTCTGCCCGGCTACCCCCTTTTATCTGGGCCGCCACCTGCGCGGCTTCTCGTTGTCTCAGTTTACGACGTTGATCATAAATGAATCCAAATCGATCAGTCAGATACTCAGCGTTCACGTTGTAGATATGGGTCAAGGTGGGTGGTTGACCCTCAGGGGAGAAGATGGTATCCATCTCGACAGGGACGTAGTTATCTGATCTTGCGTCTGTTGCATTATCAGGGGATGTTCCCAGTCCTTCTCTCCTTTCGTAATTCTGGGATCGTTGAGCTGCATTTACAGAAGTAGGTGTAGATCGGCGCATGGACATCAGCGCCTTAGGCCCGGGATGTGATGGGTTTGCGGGCACTGATCCACGAGTCTTGGTACTCGCCGTTGAAGATGTTCGCAAAGACCCATCCTGTCGCACCGAATCCGAGCGTCCTCTAGTAGAGTCAGAGTCGGCACGGTTCGCAGACTTGCCAGCAACGAGTTGTAGAGCCATGTTTGCAAGAGAGGTTGAGGTTTTCCTTGTTCCAGGCCCAGTGTAGATACTTGAAGCTCTACTAGAGTTTTGGGTAGATCCAACCTCGGGCGGCGTGAAGAGATCTTCCTGAATAGGGGGTCGGCGATCTCCTCCCAAAGATGCCCTTATGGCGGTCCTGGCCCCTTCGCCGTCCATCTTGGCAGCCCGGCTAGACTTTCTGCTAGTGCCGGTACCCCAGAAATAGTCTTTCCAGGCCCTCACTGTTCCCTTGTTTTCTTTTTGTGTGGTCGGCTCTATGGCCCTGATTGTGCACTCGGTCTCACCGCTGTCAGCCGTGTCAATCTCTCCGGCGAAGCGATCTGACGTTGTTCGCGATAGTAGATCTTCCATGGCATCACTCATCATATTGGACAAACCATCATCGTCATCGCGTTTTGGCTTGTCCAGCCCCCGCTCGATCATGCGCATTCTCTTCTCCAGGTCCAGATTCGACAGACCACATTCCAGTATTATCTTTCTTAGTGTTCGTTCACGCGCATCGGCCTTTCGCCTCAGACTGGATATTTCCAGGTCGCGGTGGGCCAGGTCTTCGGCTATCTGGCGAACAAGGTTGACGGAACCATATTTGGCGAGCAGTCGTTGGATGTGCTCATCTTCGGAGAGGTGAAGGGCGCCAGGTATGTTTCGCTTGGGGACAGGCTGGTCTTCGAAGAGGGCATCGCGTGGGGTTCTGGCAACTTCGGCGGTAGTCAAGCTCTCGACTATCGACGCGGCATCTGCTGTCGCGGGGTCTGGTAACCGCGGAACAAAGCCGCGGGCGATAGTAGGGGCGGCCATTTCAGCAGGTGAGGCTGGTCTCGTGAGGGTTGGGTCATCCTGGGGCTCCTGTGGTGAGAAGGAGGGAAACGATGTCAGTGACTTGTCGGAGGTGGCGATGGAGGATGCGGAGCTTGAGGCCTGTGAAGCCAGCCTTCGCGACCGAGATTTTGCGCGGCTCGAGTGAGCTCTATGGCTCCGGGAAGACACTGCCGATAGCTGTGACGTGGTCCTCTGCAAGGGCGCAGTTTGGTCGTTCTCCATATTGCTTTCCTAATCAGCATCTCGGCTTGCGCCTTTGTTGTTGTGAGATCGCTCGCGTGACTGACAGACAGACAGACGGACGGATCGATAACCCCTGGAGGGGCGGGCAAAGCTGGCAGTCGCAAAGGGGTTTGGAGGATTCGGCGATACCAGGGCGTAGGCGGGACAGGATAGAAGCAGGGTGGAGAGAAGGGAGAGACGAGAGATGGCAGAGGTGAGGCGCGGGGGAAGGACAGAAGGACAGAAGAAGGACAGAAAGGACAGAAGAGAGGGAGATGAAAACCATCCAACCCGACCTAACGTAACCTGTCCTCCTGCTCTTGCACGTGAGGCAGCATGGGCCAGACTATCACGGAATATTGTACGTACCGAGATGAAGCCAGCCAGTTGAGGTTCAAGGTCCATGAAGAAGACACTTGGTGTCGATATTGGTGTCGATATTGGTATCGATATTCGTGTAGGCGTAGGCGTAGGGCTAAGAATAGCTAGATTAGGTACTTACTTACAAGGTACCTAGTAGGTACTTTACGTTGTTAAGGCTGCGCTAAGCACGTATTAGCATTAGTAGCATGACAGCATGTGCATCAACAGTCCAGGGCAAGTCCAGGGCAGGAAGGAGAGGATGATGATGATGGAGTGTCCATGCATGTCTTGGTGCACAACAGCATGATGATCCAGGGTACGTTCACTCCCTACTATAATCGCTGTCTTCGCTGTATTCGCTATATTCACCAACACCACCTACGTAGGTCCAGTAAAAGATGTTTATACGGGTCACCTTTGGTGTGCTGAATACATAGTAGAGGATCAAGGGGAGGGAGATGTCACTGTAGGTAGGTAGGTACCTGGAGGATAGTGTAGATAGGTATGTAGGCATGCAGAACAAGATATCCCAGCGTGCCTGCATGGTACTTGAACTGTAACAAGGACGCTATCAAGAACGCTGAACAGACTACATTCAGTAGCAGGTAGGTAGGTATCTGGTAGGTACATAGAGACTGGACCATCTTGATCGGTCTCTCCAAGGTCCGTGGTCCGGGCGCCCGTTATCAGAAGCCGTTGGAACCCCTCCTTTCTTTCTTGTGTCTTGTGTGAACTGGTACTGTGAACAGGTTCACTGGCTGGCTCAGCTGGGAGTAGGTACCGGCATGCTTGTCTGCATCTCCATGTACCGACCGTGCCTTTGGACCATACCTTTGGACCGTGCCTTGGCCCTTGGGTAGCATTGAACTGGAATAGCTCATCGGGGTTAAGTCGTGAACCGTGCGCTAACATACATGCATAAGTAGGTATGTGCAGTACAGTACTTTTACAGATGGATGCCTTAGTCATCTAGATAGTCATCATTGTCACTAAAGGTTAGTGATCGAATATGAGAACAGGATACCTACCTCCCTGTTATAAAGGCATGGATATAATGTTGCAACGCCTTCTTTTGCATCCCGGTGTTTATGTATTAAGGAGTTATTGTGGGTGGGCGTGGGCGTCTGAAGCATCAAGCCCTACCCCCTAGCGAGACAAAAGGGGGGTGGACAAGCACCACTAATACTTGCCCATTTTCATCTATTTTTTTTATCTGTCTTTTTTATTGATCTAGGTATTCACTGAATGACCCTAGTTCACTGCTGAATACGCCATCTACTACTGCTATGTAAGTACCTACCTACATCTACCTACCAAGTAAACTTGGGAAAAAACAGTTGAATGTAGGCGTCATCAGAACTTGGAGTCAACTTCCCCGCCCAGCATGACTGGTCATCTTCCTCCCACATATCAAGTAATAGCTACTACCTTGAAGACTAACACAGAAATTTGCCATACTATCAAATAAACCAGAACATCAGGCCATCCATGTAAACCCAGCCAACATCGTAACTCAATGGACCGTATCCTGGCCATTCAGACAGGTAGCATTTGCTCTCTATTGAGGTCACCAGGATCCTGGGAAACAACTCCCGTGTCCCCTGTCGAGCCTGTACCATGATGAGAGAGCAAGATGTGGCCTGTTGTTCGTAGATCGATCTCTCTCTCTCTCTCTCTCACGATCCTTGTCACATGCTGAAGCACCGTGTCCCTTCTATTCGCTTCTATTTACCATAGGTATCTTGGTGTAATATACGTCCTACGTCTTGTACAGTAGTGCTGTAGTGTAGATCAGACATAGGTAGGTATATATTGCTTCCTTGTTAAGTGGGAGTGGGAGAGATCAGTCTTCGGATAACCAAACCAGGGAAGCCCGTCAAACTAACTGCGGGAGACAAGAAGGCCAAGCCCTGATCGCGTACGAAATCTCCGCCGATCATCTATAGTAAGTAGATATCACTCGCCAAGTCATGCACACAATGAGACGCGTGGGATTTTGCTAGAACACTCGCAAAGTCTTAACATGACTTAATACTAGGCTTAAGCAATAATATTACAGGGTATCCATTTCAGCTACTGCACCTCCTGTCGCCACCACCCAGAAGACAACTCCCAGCTGGTAACTCCCCTACCAATACCTTTGTCTTGTATGGGCATATACAGCAGTACTAGCCAGGTTGAGTAGATCATATCTGTCTTCCTGACTCCCAGTCCTCTACCGGAAATATCTGTACCCCCTACTGCGAAACATGAAGAAATTAAATGAATCATGGGTCCACAGGGACTTCGTTGTTCGCGTCGCCAGTTGTTTGCTGTCTTTCGTATCACAAACAAATAAAAAATAATAACAGATAACAGAAACAGAGGCAAGTAGTAGACAAATAAAACAAATGCAAGGAAAAAAGGGGGGCATTCTGCCTAGCTGAACCGATATGCTACATTACACAATAAGGGCGTTGAAACCCAGCATTAGATCAACGGGTTGATTTGATTACTGAAAATGAGAGAAACAAATATCCAGAGCATGGAGCAGGGATGGGAAAAAAAAAAAAAAAAGCAATGCCCCGGAAGAAGTGCTAAACATATTGCTAGTAAAAAAAAAAATAAAAAAAAAACGGAAGAAAGAAGTTGTTGAGGCAGATGGTAAAAGACAATGGTATCGTTGGCGTCGGAATATTGGAACCGAAGGTGAAAAGGAGATTCCCAAGAAAAATGTCGGTTGTTCGAGGTCGTGATTCGGGTTAAGAGGATAGATACTAGATAGAGTGTCTGTAGTATGATGAGGGGGAGGGGGAGGAGGAGGAAATAGAAAGTGGAAGTAGAAGCGTAGCAAAAACACACACATTGATGTTGTAGTCTATGCCACCAGGGAAAATGCTGAAGCTGAAGGAAAATTTTTGGTCATGGAAAACTCTCGCAATGCAACGAAAGGGTATCGTAATCACAAGAATTCGTAGTCAATGCCTTTGGCCCGTAGTCTTTATTTCAGGCCAACCCGCTTAACACGTTCAACCCTCCATAGTCGTCAGATTCAGGAAATTTTGGATGATGATGATGATGATGATGATGATGATGATGAGAGGGAGAAAAAAACCAACGTTTCGCATTTGCGTCGTCAGGCGTTTATTTCGTAAATGAAAGAAATAAGAGATGAGGCTTCGTTGAAGTAGTTAATGCGTAGTCGGAAGTCATTCTATATGTATATATGAAGAATACAGGGAGGTAGATGATGTGTGTATGTATAGGAATCCGATATGATTCAAATGATGTTTGCGATGCTAATTCTCTCAGTGGTACTTCGACCGCTCGGAAGAGCACCGCCGGTTGCCGGGCTGTTTTGCGTACTATCAGCACTTGTGACAACATTCCGAGGAGCAGCTGACGGCTCCATGACGATCGGTGGTAGCGTCTGCGGCGGGTGTGGGCGTGCTGTTGCCAGCCCATAGCTTGGAGTCGTGTTCGGTGCTGATATCGGTCCAAGTCCTCTGACGAGTTCGATCAGGCTATCCCAGCCTCCCCAGTCTTGCCGCTCATCGGAAGTCAACCCTGTGCGTTTCTCGATTGACACGAGCCCTCTAGCAGTCGCAGGGGGTGTTATAGGGGCGTCTCTCTCCATCCCTCCCCAGACCCACGCGGTCTCGGCACTGGCTTGCATATCTGCGCTGACGCAGGCCAGCAGTTCCTCGTCCCTCAGCAAACTCTCCTGGACAAATCTGGGGTCGACCGGGTGGTGTTGCTGGGGGTAGCCAGGGACAGTAGGTGGGCGAAGGATACGCTCTGCGGCTTCTTGTTGCTTGGACCGCAATGTATGGACAAAAAAAGATATATAACGCCCGCAGGCCACTGTTATATCCCGCTTTTCGTAGACGGATTTCAGAACCCTGAGGCAAGTTATGGCGTGATCCCTATAGCCAGTCAATAGTAGAAACAGTGACGAGCGGAACACGTGCGTGACGAGCAAGGTTGTTGCTGAATCCGCCAGACTCGCGCTGGAACGCTCCATGAGACGGGCCGTCTCATACGCTGTGGATGTGCACTGCTCGATAGCATCGATGCGGGCCTCTGAGGGGCATACTGGAGAGAGATTATGTCGGTGTAGATGCAGGCGTGCGCTCAAGAGATAGAGTATTGGCATGAGGACATGGGGCGGAATGACTTCCAAGTTGTTCGGGTCAAATATCGGGGGGAACAGGCTCTGGCAAGCAGTGAAGTGGCTGTCAAAAGTGGCAAGTCGAGGCCGCTCGATTGTCGAAAAGGCAAACGCTTTCCTCAAGGCGGTAAACGACCGCACGACATTTATTATGGCATGCAGGGACTGGGTTAGAGGAGGCGTTGTCGTGTTGTGTGCCAGCCCCTCCGATTCCAGCAAATGGTCGTCGTAAGGCTCGGGCAGCGAGACATCGCAGTCGTTGTCGTCGATCATGAACGGGCGACCGATGTCGAGCGCTAAGACTCTGTCGAAGACGTATACCGCCCACCAAACCCTGCGCCGCATATCCGCCTCCACTCTCGTCCGTGCCCCGAGCTCCAAGTGTATTTCCAAGTCCTGAGCACATCGCACCGCTTTTCCTAGCCATTTCCATGCAGCGGATTTTAGGTTCATTTCGTACAGGGCGACCCCTATCAGGAAGAACCCCCGCACATCATCCAGCACGTCGTCGTTTGCCCACGAATCCATGAGGTTCTTCGACACCTCCATGAATTCACCGGCCTTCAATGTTCGATCGGGGCCCGGATCCGCGCTGAAGAGACATCCCACCGCAAGAACAGCAAAGAACATCGCTAACCACGGGGTCGGAACTTGGCGAAGATCATTGCTCTGATACAATCTGTCCACGTCCCGCTGGAAGGACGGCCAGTGTATTATGGGCATCATGACGTGAAACGCAGAGTAATACGCGTGGAGGAGCTTGTCTGTAGTTAGCTTTGCTGGCAGCGTCGGCTGTGCTTGGTCGAAGGTGGCAGGCTCTGGCCATGGACGGTACGGCGCCGATGCTTTCACAAGGCCCTTCGACATGTTGCGGAAATTCGCCCTCGCTCGGGAATTATCGTGCATCGTCGACGCTCGCTTCTTCTTCCGTGGTTCAGAATTCAGGTCAGGTAGGCGGAGCGAGAATTGGTCTTCAACTTCGGCGTCAATGCTCATGTGCTCTCCACCAGCTCGCTCCGCCAGGCTACGCTTGAGGTGGCTGTTTTCCCTGCGAACTCGTTCCATTTGCTTTTCCAGGTCTTGCACTTGCTTTATGGATGACATGCGCCGGTTCGTCTCTTTCGTGAACTGGCATTTAACATTACGGCTGGAGCACTCGGAGCAGCTGTTGGTTTCAGTGGCGTCACACTTAACCTTTCTCTCTCGACAAGCATCGCAGCTATAACAACACGCCATGTAGTTAGTGGGTACTCGAGCCATTGACCAGCCAGACAATAATTACAGTTCAAATAGGGGTTTGTGAGAGGGCGCACACAGCACATGGCGAGCGTAATACGTACCTCGGGTCCTTTCTACGTTGTCGATATGCTCGCTTCTGCGCCTGAGCGTTCGCCGATAGCTGGGCACTTGAGAGCCCCGGCGTGCTTACCACCGATTCGCCTGAGGCCAGAGAATCCCGCCCCATGATTGACGATGCCGTCACTGGCGTGAACGGCTGGAATGAGGATTGGCCAGCCGGTGGGAGGGGCGGTATCCCAATGGGTTGAGGCGTGTGGATGGGATTTGACCTCACGTTTGGCCCCATTAGATTGTTGAGGTAATGAACCTGCGGTCGTGGTGAAGTTGCAGAAGACACTGAAGAAGAGTCGTAGGATCGTGTGGGGGAACGAGGGTATAAGTTGTGAGACGAGGCCGCCATCGTCGAGCGCTCGGCGTCCCAACCCTCGGTAGGCTGGCGTGGCTCAGTCTCCGATGGCTTCCCAGCGAAGTGAAAGGCTGAGGGTCCTGGTCGAAGTAGAGCAAGCATACAGGCTAAGGTTGGTGACTTGACGAGAAGGATGAAGAGGTGAGGGAAAGGTTCTATTTAGGCCCGTCCGCCTGTGTTCAACCTAAGAAGCACCTGGCTAAGCATGAATGGGGTAGACCTGCCACGAGGGGTTGAGGCGACCTCGCACGAGATACCACAATGGACACTTGATTATCAGACAAACAAAGACAACTCTTCTCGGGTGTCGTCCCAAATAGTCTCGATATTGGTTACTGTGCAACTGTGCCTGTTATACCTAGTCTCCTGTCTTATGTTCCTAGGTCGTCCCATAGGAGCCAGATGTCGTCCTCTCCAAAAGTCTGTTTGTCTCAAAACTGGTGCTCAGCTAAACCCAGAAATCGTGACTGCAGAATTAGTTAGGCCGGCATTCAGGTATATGTATCGATGACTCTCCGGCGACGGAGGGTACATGCCGAATGCGTTGTGGGCAAGAGACTGCTTGCCAAAGCAGAGAGGAATGCAAATCGCAGAGGACGAGGTCACGGAAGGCGAGGAATGGATCATGAACATCAAAGTGCGTCGTTTCCAGCCGCAGGGAAGCGAGTTGGCGATGGGGAGAGAGTAGTGAACATGGAAAAAGACTATAATTTGAGGGAAGAGAGTGGGTGACGTGACCTGTGTAGTCGAGATGGTCCACAACAGAGCCGAGAAAGGTACCTAACATTGAGCTAAGAATTATCTAGTATAGCATCTCCCTTGTCGGAGCATCCGTAACCAGAGCAGAATCGGACATATAACAATCTGAGAGGGGTGAAATCCTTCAACTGCTCACGCTTGTAAATCAACCCCTGCAACTGGACACAAGACAACATGGGCTCGGAGCAGGGCAGGGCTGGGGACTTGAAGTTCCTTGACACCAAGCCGCTAACCAACGTGTTTCGAGCATAGGGTGGGCCACTCCAGTCCTTACCTCGAACTTGTCCATCCCTGAACCCGTAGGCCATGGCCACGCTGGCTGCTATCGGCCCAGCAAGCAGGCAAGCAAGCAAGCCGTGGTGGTGACGGATCGGGTTGTGGTGGTAGACATTGCTTCTGCTTGCTGCTGCTGGTGCTTGTTGGTGCTGCGCGAGTGCACCATTCAACAACAGCCAGGGCAAACCGGTGCGGTCGGTCACTACACTAGTAGCAGCCAGCCAGCTAGGTTCTCCACCGCATTCACCATGTCTCCGTTTCTAGGAATCATGGGAACAAACCTGGAGCGACTATAGATAGATACAGAGGTAGATAGGGGCGAGGGGACTGCCCAGTACTGTACATGGGATGAGGGCAAGGTGCAAGACGTCCCTCCTTGGTTCGCCGCGAACTCAGGTCTACGGTACGGTACCCTGCTTGTCGAGATGCCATGCAAAACACGGCGCTCGTTGCAGGCGATTGATCTACTTACTACGCGTGTGTATACGAACTTGTACGGCGCTGCATTCGCTCCTCTTCCTGACCAAGACTGGTGCAGCTAGGCTGGGTTGCCGATGATGAAGCCTGCTTCACCAAGGGGCATCTGCCCCAAACTCCAAATCGCAGACATACGGCAATTGGCTCCGCTGAGCAAAGGTAGAGAGAGTCCGGGCTGGGCATGGGCAGGACAATACTTACTTACTTAGTAAGTCTTTCGACGCTAGATACGTTCTCGACAATGTGACCTCCGCATTGGGGGGCTGTCGCGTCTGCACATACGCTAGTGTGAAAGCGCGGGAGGAGGCTTTTATCTCCTGGCTGTGCCATTGGCACGCAAACCCCCTTTCGGAGAATGAGGTGCATTCCTGGGTCGTGTTTGGCGCATAGAATTGTTCTCCAGCAGAAGGTATTCTTCCCGGGCGTTGGTGGCATCCAGCGCATGCGCTTCCTTCTTTCTTTTCAAATACCTATCTATTTGCCTAGTATTATACTTACTTTTATTTCCCTTCCCGTCGTGACAGCGGGACCTGATTTCTCACCGGAGGCTGCTCCACTGACTCCAGTGGTGACGGCAACGGGCTTCTCCTCACCGGCCAACTACCGAACCACGAACAATGTTCATAGAAGAGCCCGGTGGCCTACTGAGACTGGCCGCGGATAACAAGGTAACAGAACAGTCTTCGACTACGGTGCAAGGGGGGGAAACGACGTGCTAGGCCGGGGTACCAATTCGGCCGCTGCATGTTCGCAGACGTTTGTACCGGAATATAGAACTTGAAACGTACCGGAACCCACAGTGCTATGGATAGATGGTAGAGGTCAACGGGTTGACTTGATGCGCTCGTGTGCAACATTGTGCAACATCACAGCTCCTGAACATACTAAGTAGGTATCAAGTGTTCTTGATCAACCACCCCCGACTGATCTATTATTAAATACATGGGCAGATCCTCCGTACCCCATCTAGGGTGCGAGAAACAAGCTGAACGTCACTGTCGCCCTCCCTTTAATAACATTTTTCATTCGCCTTGGATTCTTTTTCCTGGCCTTCTATTTCTCACGCAGCAACAGCTGAAATGTGCTAGACTTGGTGGCGTTGCTTGACGGCGGCAGTCCGCCACAACCCCAAATAATGTGTTGCAACGATGCTGCTTAGTGTAGCTTGCCCCTCATGGGGGTCAGGCTTGCCCCTTGTCACTGAGGTCCAGGGATGGGTACGGAAGGCCATGCTGTTGTCAGGAAAAAGAGTCCCTTGATATTTCACAAGGATGGGGTCAGCTCACAGGTAATCCTATTACGAAAGCGCGGTGTTATCGCCCCAAATAGTTATTATAGTAGGTATAGAGGCGGGACAAAATATGCGCAGAAGAAGCCACAGGAACATGATTGTCCTGCAATATTCCGCAATTGTTTAAGTCGATATCTTGTCGTGAGCTGTGTGGTCCACACACGTAACGGATCGATCCTGGTCACGTCGCAGGGGCTTGATCTCGCAGTGCGGTTACCTGCCCTATCAATGTGCAATACCCAGATTTCAGAGTTCACGTGCAGCTGTATGCGCGTGGGTAGGTTGCAATAAACAACGAACAGCATCGTCAAGAGATAGACCGAATGTCGGAAATGGGTCATAATAAGTAGAACATATACATATAACGCGGTGCCCACGGCAGAATAGGTATACAGCGTCACGAGCAAGCAAGACCAAACCTGGCGCCATATCATCGTTCTCACACGATAGTTTCGTGTAATACCCTACCTACCTACCTGCTGTAGATATACGACGCCGAGCAGATACATATATCCCAAGTATGGAGATGTGGGTGAGCCACAATAGAACCACACTATGGCCAGCTTCGAGCAAGCAGCGCCAGAAGCAAAGGCAGCGGCAGTAGTGCAAAGGGATTTGCCGCACTAGAGTCAAAGAATGGCAAGTGCTTATCGAGCCATCTGTAGGTCTCGTTTGCGAGGGCAGCAGAAATGATGGACCCGGGGCTTTGGAGCCATTAGAATTAGAATGACACCACCGGATCCAGCACAGATACATGGTACACATAAAATTCGATATTGTATTATTGACCGGGGTCGTGATATTCCAGGCCACCCTAAGTAAGTGCATGAATGAATCGCTGCGCAGTGCGCGGCGGCAGGGAGCCATGCCTCTTTTAGAGCACTCCCGAATACTACTCAAGATACTGGAGTACTGCAGACCAGGTCGTAATAGGGTAGTGATGGGTTTTTTTTCTTGTTTCTTACATAGTAGATACATTACGCGTGCTTTGTCATGATCTCGTTTTGAATATTCCGTGTACTGCCCAGGTAACGTAACCATCAGTCATCGGCGAGGGTGAAACGCAAGACACAATAGTCACCTGCTAACATTGTATAAAAGCACCTGGAAGTATGCGTTATTTAGTATAATATATGTGCGATTCGCCTCAGGCGAGGCTTTTGGCAAGGCTACACTCTGGGGGGTAATGTAATAATCACTAATACCGGTAAATGTTTAAGACGAACACTTTGGGGGCCTAGAGGTCGGACAAGATGACTGGCTATAGGGATAACCGATCACGTTGCATCTTGCACACTACCACCACACTGTCAGATCATCGAATCACATTCTTGTCTCGAACTTATACTACTGTAAGCACATTGATATGAATATCTCTGGGTATCTAGATACATGATGTTGGCCTTACTCGAGGGCCATCCGTGGTGAGCTGAACATGCCCCAGGTACTGTAGTACCCAATGCGTCCATGATCGCCAGGAGGTTGGAGGTTCTCTAGCTTCTTTTATCCATCTTACAAGTACACTCCTAACCTGCAATGGTGTACAGAGTAAAGTTTACACTACACTATCATAGTAAGTAGATAGTGCTCGACTGACCGAGTTCAAGTTCCTAGCAGTACGCTTACACCCCACGCTACATCTGGGTTGGTCGTAGAAGCAGCGCGCTATTCCCGTGTAGAGCATCCAGGCCGCTCGCGTGTCAGACTAGGTAGAACAAAGTAGGTAGTGTTTAGATTGCGACAATATTCTATTGTGCATCCTAGGCAAGTATATCACAGTTACAACGTACGAATACGTAACTAGGTACCAGATAACTACGTGTGTAAGACTAGACCAGAGGGGAATCCTCCCTTGGGGAGGTATGTACATAGGCAGACTGGGAGGCAGATTGGTCACCTTCCCCTCGCCCGCTCGTCACGCCGTAGGCACATGTAGTTGAGCTCTACACGGCATCTGATCAGCATCGATTTAGAGCCGCTGTTACAGCTGCAGCGAGTTGAAAACTCCTACGTAGTTGGGAGAATGAGCACACAATCCACTAACTACACTGGACTAGACCCATCAACGGCCAGAAGCTAAAACCTACATGAACATGTGCGTAAGTAAGAGCCCTCGTGCCTCGCACCTCGGCTGGCTGCCAAGGAACTTATAGGGAAGCGGGCCATCTGGAGCCATCTGGAGCCTGGGTGGACTCATCCTTGCGAGCCGGTTGTTTCATGATAGCGCCGCACCAAGCCTCTGGTTTCGCTGGGCTTATTAGAGTCATATTAACACGCTGTGTCTGGTACAGATTTACTCCCAAATTACTAATTTACCCCAGATGACTAACAAGCTTCGGCATAGCATCGTCAAACACCTGCTTTAGTACACAGGAGTGTACGCGTAATTCAGAATATCTCCATCCACAGTACATGTAGAAAATAGTGTCGTACACTGCTGCAGCTACTGAGATTCTCGGCACGTTATTGGAATCATTTGGCGGGT